TTTATGACATAACCATAACCTTGTTATGTTAAAATAACCATGCATACAAATTTGAGATGAAACAGCCATGAGAGGTTAACAAAACCCTGCCAATTGTGATGTTACCACAACCATAAAACCCTGTGATGTTACCACAACTTTGCGACATTACCATAAACTGGTAGTATTACCACACCCTTGTACCATTACCAAACATTTGAGAAGTTACTTCAATCATAATAGAGATTACTAAAACCCTTTGATGTTACCAAAACTCTGTGATGTTACCACAACCATATAATTATGATGGTCTGTTACCAAAACCTAGTTATACTATCAAAGTATGGGCTAATTATTGTTATCAAAACCCTGTGGAGTTACCACAACCCTGTGATTTTATCTTAACTCTCAGGGTCTGTTATGTTACCACAAACTTGTGAGGTAACCAAAGCCCTGGTATATTATCACAACCAGTTTGTGCCCTGTCATGCTATCACAACCAGTTTGTAGGGTAACTAAACCAATTATATTATCACAACCAATTTGTTGGGTAACCAGTGCCATGTTATATTATCACAGCCAGTTTGTTAGGTAGCCAAAGTCCAATTATATTATCACAACCAGTTTGTGAGGTAACCAAAAAACAGCCAGTTTGTGGGGAAATTAAACCCCTGTTATATTATCACAACCAGTTTGTGGGGTAACTTAAGCACTGTTATATTATCACAACCAGTTTGTTAGGTAGCCAAAGTCCAATTATATTATCACCAGTTTGTAAGGTAACCAAAAAAACAACCAGTTTGTGGGGTAATTAAACCCCTGTTATATTATCACACCCAGTTTGTGAGGTAACTTAAGCCCTGTTATATTATCACAACCAGTTTGTAGGGTAACTTAAGCCCTATTATATTATCAAAACCAGTTTGTGGGGTAACCAATGCCCTGTTATATTATCACAACCAGTTTGTGGGGTAACCAAACCCTGTCAGTTTGTGGGGTAAAATCAGAACTATGTGATGTAAGACCAAGACTGTATAATATTACTGAAGTGGTAATCTTGCAAAAATAAAATTCAAAGTCCTGTGTTAAAGTAAATAAAATTCAAAGCCCTGTGTTAAAGCTATCTTGAAACAGATGCCATTACTTTGGCGAGAGTGTAAACTCTTTCAGCCCATTTAATCACCAAAACATTGTACTATGTATCATGAATCAGCAAAACTTTCAAATATGGCTGAAAACAGCTTCATCATTATGACATAGCAATCTAACAAGGACAACCTTAAATATTTTTAAAACTATTTTAAATATTTCAAGCATGATTTATTGAATTACATTAAGTGAATTTTCAATGAATGTCATATTTTGATGAATATTTTAAAGTTTTACAGAAATTACTTTTGAAAAAAAAATCCACCCACCATTTTAAAATAAAGATGCAAATATTTTAATATCATATTAGAGAATCTTAATTATACTTTACTGATAAAGGAAAACTCAGTGAGCATCTTCCTTATTTCAGCCATTGATCAAAAAGCACTTGTCTTGGGAAGTTACTAGTATCCTACAGCAATAATCTTTTCGAAATTTAAATAGTTTAAATTAAGCCCACAGCAGAATAGGTAAAATAACAGTTTTAGCCACTAAACCTCCTAGACAATCTTAAAAAGAAATAATGCAATATAAATAGCCAGCAACTGAATTAATGTCATAATAGTCTGTTTTTATTAATATCAAACCATTCAAGTTAAACAATGATGCTTAACTGAACCACTACAATAGCACTATTTGTACATTTCAACTTAATACATGTGTATATTGTTTTAAAATAATGTATGCTTGTCAATCTATACTATATGTATACTTTAATCATGTAAATCCTAGTCAACAATTTCCATAGGCAATATTTGATACTTAAAGATTAATTATAAAAATAAATTTTTTCAAAATAGAAATAGATGGATAAAAAAAATAATTTTTTAAACAAATTTTTCCACAATTACCTGTAATAAGCAATATTAAGTTTTTGCAGGGAAAAAAATGTTGTGACAGCTCTTGACAAATCATTTCAAATGCTCTGATAAATACTTTTTACTTACTCTTTAATACGTACTGTAAAGCTGACAATATTAAATTAACATATTACCGATAACATATCCAATGAATTCATTGGCAAAAGAACAATCTTTTTTCAAACATTAAATTTTAGCACAATTTTTCAAGATTAAAGACATAGTATATATACGATATGTTATAATATATGAATATGACTAGCTTCTACTGTTTTGATATAACATCTGCTTTAAAGATATTTTTAACTTATTTGAAACTGGATATTTATCATATTGCTTCCCTGTACAGTATATTATAATTCCTGTACTTAGTATGATGTAACATACATGTAATGTTCAGTTTCATGTATTGTATACTGTATACCAACATTAACTACCTTTTTATTTTCAAGTGGCAAGTATATTTATCTTCACTAAATTAAGCCTTTTTCACTATAACTTCTTCAGTTTAGCTGAATTACAAAGGCTGTACTGTACTGTATTAGTGTACAGTATGTTATAAAATCTGGTTGTTTTTGGTGTCTTTCAATAATTCAGTTGGCTTGTAAGAAGGCTCAAATTAATCAGTTTACTGTAAACGTGTTACGCAACCTCATCATTCTTTACATTTCCATATCATTTATTGGTTAATCTATTTATCGTTCGAACTCTGTACAGTAGAAATAAAATATTTGGTCACGATTCAAGAAATTGTACTGATACATAGCTTCATACATACCCGGGCTCCACTGCAAATTTATACCGTGAACCGGCATGTGTACATCAAGGTGAAGGTCTCTGTCATCATAGTATACGGATTCCTATTGGGCGAGACACCGAATCAGCGATTAGAAACTAGGTCACACGAGATAATGATACAGCATACTGCCGATTAACATAAACAGCATACGTCAGAATGTTCACGTGTTCCACAAGCGTTATTTTGGTCCCTATTTTTTTACTCTGCAACTGATTTAGCAATTTTATTTACTAAAAAATATTGATAGATCTACTGTATGTCCTAAAAAGGTGCCATATAAGAAAAATTATAATTCGTGTTTCACATAATTATTAAATAAGGTAGGCCTACATATATACTGTACTGTATATTTAATATTTAAATTATAATTTATTATCTAACCAAGAACTTTCAAAAAATCTATCATAATGGATCTAACCTGGGACATAAACCTTGGTGTCACCCAGATTTAACTCATGAAACTTGCCTAAATTAGGAAACAATTCTTTTTCCAAAGTGCTTTGAGGGAAACTAGATGGCTAGATCTAATTTGATGGAAGACAAAGGTACGTACTGTATATAACTAACCAGGACCATTTTTTGCAAATATATATCCGATAGGAAAGTGGATACTAGTTGTGTTTATATTAGCACAGATTTTATAAAATTGGTTATTATGTTTGTATAGTATGAATCAGTTGTATAGATGAGACTTTATAATATATTCAACTTACTGAAATAGGAAAGTGAAAAATTGAAATAACTGAAGTAAAACTGATTTTGCTGCTATGTAACTATATAAGCCACCATCCTATACCATTCCCATTTTATTGGCCAATTCATCCTTACAACTTATATTTTATTCAGACAATGTGCGTGCTGGGCCTCATATGATTTACAAATTTAACTTCTCCGGACAAACCATCTCACACATGCACACTTTGATAAATATATTTCCATGTCTAACACCAGAAATTGTTGATCTTTATTTATTTAAATTATCAAGGTGTTTGATTATGTCCTTTACAGGCATAAACAGCCATTCAAAAAATTGACCATACAAAACATATAAGGCTCTAATACCACTTGTGTTTCAAAATCAGTTATTTTAGGACATAATAAAGTGACATGTCTGTTCTCTATTTATTATGTTACTTTATACTGTAAATTAAAGAATAAATTTATTAAACATGAAATATTTGTATTGACCTCTAAGCCAGTGTATGCATGAGATAGACATATGACGCATTTCTAGCTTTACTGGTGGAGGAAGACCTCAATCAGATGCTCTTTCCTGCATTATTTTAGGCACAAGCAGGCGCTGGAGTGGAACCACTACGGTTTTAAGCTTCCTCACATGAAAAAATAAAATGTCCCTTGCAGGATTTGAACCTACAGCAGTTAGGGGCAAGTGGTTTGAAGTCAACAACCATAACCACAAATGTATCTCTTTTATCATATTTAATACATAGAAACAAATATATTTGTCAAACACACAAAATTAACAAAATAAAATATTTGTTTAAAATCTATTAAGTTCATTTGTTACAAGCTATCATATTAAATATTTTGTTTGCAAATACTAGAACGTATTTTCACTAAAAACTTTCAGAAGGTATATTTTTCCTGAAGTGTGATATCTTTACATAATATTGTCTCCATTTTTCAATTTTCTGTCAAATATTCAAATTCAAAGTTCATTTTCACTCCCTTTAAATGTCTTAAATGAAAGGTAAATATATAATATGTAGGTTCTTTAACAAAACAATAAGATCATAAAACTTATTGTACTTCAAACCATTTTCTGCAACAGCCACAAAATTTAACATGATGTATGTTTCACAAAGTGATTATGTACAAGTATATGATATGCATTATAAATAAGAATATCAAAAGTATATCTTAATTGATCAATGGACTAATGCATAACTAATCCATTATAACTAATCCTCATTTATCCAGTACTGGTTATTTTCAAATGTCAGGTTGTGTCGATGTTATGATGTTGAATTACAAAACATGCTATATAAACTTCTTTTACATACTATATTTCTTTACTTTGTTTTACAACATCTCAATCTTCTTCCTAGTCACAGATGGTTAGTTTACTCCATTGTCATTGGTAGCAAATGTCTGTTCAAAAAATTATCTATTTCCTCCCAATTATCTTTATAATACTTCAACTTTTTTCAAAACATCTTCTGTAACAAGAACTACTTTCCTTTACATTCAAGAATCCTTCCTATTGGCTACATTAGTCAGAAATTATTAAATTTCATAAAATCTCAGTTACTTCAAGTGAAAAATGAGAAATCTATTAAAATGTTCATCACTCAACATGACATGTTGACAACTATGTGCTTTATCCTGTCTACTGACTCCAGGTGATATCACACTATTTAATAAGTTATAACACTATATAAACAACACTATCCTGGAACTTTTGTATGTATCCTCAATCCATGCATCTGTCCAATCTCTTTTTTCAAAGCCTGAAAAATTTCGCAAAGAAAGTCATTCAAACATGCAAATACAGTGAACTGAAACCCCCACTGAATGCAAATAGAGAATGGATGACATAAACACTTGTTTGCAGATTAAATAGATTTTGTTCATATAACAGTTTCTAAACAACCAGTATCGTAACAGAATTTTAAAATCAATTTTAAAGTTTAAAGAAGCATTTTTTAAAGTCATGTATGCTAATTGAAGAACTTGGACAGGGCTTTAATTTGCAAATATGCATGAAATCAAAGTCAGTAAGCCTTTTGTCACACTGAACATTCACAAAATTTCTGAATTCACATTCATTAAAATGTTAAGCTAAATAAATGGGTTTTGGAAAGTAAATTCCTTAAGTTGTTGTGAAGATAGCCCTTTCCCAACAAACTTTAACATAGGAAAATGATTAAACCAAAATTCATGCTAGACCAAATATCTAAATTTCAGTCAATGAATTAAGGTTTTTAATGCAAAAAGGCAAGTAAATAGTGGAAGCAAAAAAATGTTTATCAAAATAGAGTGCACAAACATAAACAAAACCCAGTTACAGTAGTCCAGCTCCATTCAAATGAATAAAGCTTTCAATTTATAATGATATTGTATCAAAATCACAAACACAATTGTAGTTGAATAAGTCCTTATGTTATCAAAAATAATTACATGTATATTGAATACGGACATTACAAACATAAGTTTGTTCAAAAGCATTACCATACCTCATTGACTAGCATGTGTTGTTTGACTGTTCGAAGTCCTCTAAATTCCTCAGCCTCTATAGCTACTTCAAACATTGCCCCACAGCCACCTGTAATCATTATAATTAATTCAAACAAATTGAGTTCAAATTTAGCCCAAAATTTCTCAACTGAAAACTTTTGAAAGACAATGTCATAACTTATATAATGAAGAATATGCTAACCAGGTCACTTTAAAAGTCAGCTATGATCTAATGTTGAAGCAAGAAGGCCACTGGAACAGATACATATGTATAGTGCTCACTTGAATACATAACTAGAACTATCACTAAAAGTGATTAATACCCCCACAAGACTGCTTCGGAAATGAGGATGTTACTAGTTACACTGAATACCTTGTAAAAGAATTGAAATATAGAGTTATGGTTGTGGGCAATTTAAGATAGTTGTGGTTCTTGTATGTTGCATTTCCTTTCAATGTGGTTGGCCATTGATGAAGTTTTATTGAATTACTCTGTAATAAGTCCAGAAAGACAAAGAAAAGGAACAAAGGGCAATAACTCTATAAATACTGAAGATGGAGTTATAGTTCTTGTGCACTGCACTTCCTCTTATTGTGCTTGACGATTGTATGAAGTTGTTTTGAATGCCAATCAGTATGTTTTAAGTTATGCTCCGGACAAGGAAAAGCATCAAAGGGAAGTTACTCTGCATTTTGTTAAAATGTAGTTATGGCTCTTGTGCACTGCACTTCCTTTTAAAGTCCTTGACAACTGTATGAAGTTGTATTGAATTCCAAACAGTAGTTTTCAAGTTATGCTCTGGACAAGGAAAAGTAACAAAGGGCAATGACTCTGTAATTAGTCAAGATGGAGTTATGGTTCTTGTGCACTGCACTTCCTCTCAATGTGCTTGACCATTGTGTGAAGTTATATTGAATTCCAACCATTAAACTTCAAGTTATGCTCCGGATAAAAAAAGCAATGGAAAAGTAACAAAGGGCAATAACTCTGTAATTAGTCAAGATAGAGTTATGGTTCTTGTGCACTGCACTTCCCCTTATTGTGCTTGACCATTGTATGAAGTTGTTTTGAATTCCAACCTGTAGTTTTCAAGTCATGCTCTGGACAAGGAAAAGTAACAAAGGGCAGTAACTCTGTAATAAGTCAAGATGGAGTTATGGTTCTTGTGCACTGCACTTCCTCTCAAAGTGTTGACCATTGTATGTAGTTATATTGAATTCCAACCATAAGTCTTCAAGTTATGGTCCGGACAAAAGAAAGCAATGGAAAAGTAACAAAGGGCAATAACTCTGTAATTAGTCAAGATAGAGTTATGGTTCTTATGCACTGCACTTCCCCTTGTTGTGTTTGACAATTGTATGAAGTTGTTTTGAATTCCAACCAGTAGTTTTCAAGTTATGCCCCGGACAAGGAAAAGTAACAAAGGGCAATAACTCTGTAATAAGTCAAGATAGAGTTATGGTTCTTGTGCACTGCACTTCCTCTCAATGTGCTTGACCATTGTATGTAGTTATATTGAATTCCAATCATTAGTCTTCAAGTTATGGTCCGGACAAAAGAAAGCAATGGAAAAGCAACAAAGGGCAATAACTCTGTAATTAGTCAAGATAGAGTTATGGTTCTTGTGCACTGCACTTCCCCTTATTGTGTTTGACAATTGTATGAAGTTGTTTTGAATTCCAACCAGTAGTTTTCAAGTTATGCCCCGGACAAGGAAAAGTAACAAAGGGCAATAACTCTGTAATAAGTCAAGATAGAGTTATGGTTCTTTTGCACTGCACTTCCTCTCAATGTGCTTGACCATTGTATGTAGTTATATTGAATTCCAACCATTAGTCTTCAAGTTATGCTCCGGACAAGGAAAATGCAACGGACGTCTGGACCGACCGACCGACCAACCGACCACCGGGTGACTCCTATATACCCCCCCAAACTTCGTTTTTGGGGGTATAATAATACAATTGTATGCTTATGAGTTGGTCGTGGTTTAAGTGGTCAAGGCCACAGTGATCATGACCTTTAAACAAATGACCTCAAAATCAATACAGGCCATCTACAAGTCATAACTTATTCTTCTAATTGTTTTCTACATGTATGTACATAAAAACCCATAACTGCTGGGGCAGGGCCAATGATGATTCAGGGGTTATAATTTCAACAACCTTGTAGGAGGTCCACCAGTTGATGTTCCTAGACAAATTTCTTAGCTTTAGTCCTTGTAGTTTCAGAAAAAAATGATTTTTAGTTTTTACTATATACATATAATGAAACCCCCATGCTCCCCCAGAGGCGGGGCAATATTATTTGATATAAAGATATAATTTGAAACAACTTTGGTAGAACACCTTCAGCCTGTGTAATATACTACATATTAAAAGCTATTGGGAATGTACTTTTACACAATATGATTTTTGAAATTTGCTTATTTTAAATCCATTTTTTGGCACTGTGACCTACTTATGCAACCTATTTGAACACCTTTGATTAGGGACCACAAAAGGATCATTACTGTGTAGTTTTGTTAATATCCAGTCATTGGTTTCAGAGGAGATGTTGTTTTCAAAAATTGTTGAAGACAAATATTGCAGGTGACCAGAAAGAGGTGGATCTCAATAACTCACCATGAGCATGTAATGCTCAGTTAAGTTAATAACACAAAATGTAAAATAAGTCTAAAGTAGAAGATCAACGTGTAAAATCACACATGGTCAGATAAAACTGATTATTTGGTCTAAATATAAAGAAATAATAAAAGTAAGGTAATTTTTACTGTAAAAATGTATACAGAAAGTAACTGATCCCTGAGACAGGATCTATTTTGACCCTCTGGGAATAACTTCAACAAATAGATAACCACTCGACAATGCTTCATGTTAAATATCAAGCCTCCTGTCCTAATGGTTTCTGACGGGAGATTTCTTGCAAGTACAGTTTCTAGCAAGGAGATTTATATGATTTTCACTACCATATGTAAGCCTATGTAAACTGAAAAACCTATAGGCCATTATTATTAAACAAATGTTCACGTGTTCCACAACCGTTATTTTGGTCCCTATTTTTTTTTTTACTCTGTAACTGATTTGGCAATTTTGTTTACTAAAAAATATTGATAGATCTACTGTAAGTCCTAAAAACGGTGCCATATAAGAAAAATTATAATTTGTGTTTCACATATTTATTAAATACAGTAAGGTACATGTATACTGTATATTTTATATTTAAATTATAATTTATTATCTAACCAGGGACTTTCAAAAATTCTTATATAATGGATGTAACCTGGGACATAAACCATGAAACTTGCCTAAATTAGGAAACATCTCTTTTTCCAAAGTGCTTTGAGGGAAACTAGATGGCTAGATCTAATTTGATGGAAGACAACAAATTTTAAGGAAATATGCTTTAAGAGAGGCATTTCTGTCTCAATAAAATATTAAATGCAGCAAAAATGAACCTTAACCTGTGTTTTGATATAAAATACTAATATGCCTAATATAAACACAATCAATAAAATCTTTCGTTAAACCAATAATTTTAACAGAAAATTTGCTTAAAAAGAGACATAACTCTATCAATAACAGTTTGATTTGAAACTTAACCTGTGTTTTATATAACATACTCACATGTCAAATATAAACAAAATCCATAAAATAATTTCAGGAAACAAATAATTTCATAAAAAGGGGGCATAACTATAGTATATCAATAATAAGTTGATTTGCAGCAAAAATCAAACTAGATTTGTGTTTTGGTATACTATTCTTATATGCCATGTAATACATGCCAAATATAAACACAAACATTGAAATTCGTTTAAAAATTATCTTGTGGAAACCAATTGTCTACAGACAGATGGACAATGCCATACCATATACATGTATGTCCCGAAGTTTCTTGGGCTTTTGATAATTAACTGTGGAGGATGCACATCCAATTATTTTAAATGCTTTAATTGGCACTTTTCAAAGGTGAGCTAAAAGCTTTTTCACTCTGATGAACATTTTTTCAATATATATCAGGGTTTAGAAGCATTCTTTTTCTATTGTTCTCTACCTCTTTTATGAGCTGATGCTCCCAAAACTACATGTATTGAATATAAAGTGAAGCTATTGTGTTGTTGTATTTTTGCTATTACATGTCTTTGAAAATTTCAGTAATAAATCACTCATAAACCTCATATATTGTGCACATTGACACATGCATACACATACAGAAAACACCAAAATGTAAACTGCATGTATCTGCCATTTTAGTTGTGAAAATGATCTTGAGTAAAAATTTATCACACGTGGATGTTTATAATAACAAAATAAATTAAATCTTTACCAGCCTTAATATGTTAAATGGACTTGTTGATAAAACAATAAATTATTTTAAGGGAAAATTTCAAGATATGCATTAACTGAATAGTAAGGGAAAATTTCAAAATACTGGTATGCAACAACTGAATATCTGTGCCATCTAAACTTAGGTCTGCACTGGTTGCATGAGCGATTTTGGTAAAATTCTGTCACCCACAACAAGCTAATGGTTAAAGTAATTAGGACCAGCATTATCAGTGAAGAAGATAAGAGAATAAGACAACAAATGACTTAACCTAAATACTGATTTAGGAATTAAACACAAGATAATCTGTAAATAAGTGGCGGCATGGCCGAGTGGTTAACACATCAAAGTAGTAATCTAATGATCGCTAGCTGCATGGGTTCAAACCTCGTCAGGAGCAAGTCGTTGTTTCCTTGAGCAAGAAACTTTACACTCATTGTTTAGTACTGGTTGGTTCTAGGAACTGATTCAAAAGTGTGTCTGTAAGCTTATAGCTTCCTACACAATCGAACTAAAATAAATTCTGTATAAACCAATCTTTAAATACTTTTATACTTTACCTGAAATATCTGACACATGAATCAATTTATGTCCTGGAAATTTAGTCTGTAAAACCTCCTTTATTTTCTTCTCTCCTTCAGTAAAATCTTGTGATGCAGCGTCAGTAAAGTACCTATAACCTCTCAAAACAATTCTCTGAAACAACAACTATTATTATTATATTTTATCTGTTAAAAAATACAATTGAAAAAACTGAAGTAAAATTTCAGAAAGTTACCATGTATGGACAAAATTATCTCAAAATTTTTCATTTAAAATGTTAATGATGAAATTATGATTTTATCAAAAAAGAAAAAAGTACATGTATTAATAAAGAAGGAAAAATTTATCACATTTCCAGCAATTCTGTTAAAAATATTTTTATATACAGTACAAGGACAACTGATCAATAGTTAAGAAATGTAAAACTTTACAAAGAATTTTAGAGTTATGGGTTATGGTCAATGACCAAAAAGGTGAGTGTAAAAGTTGAAGTGAAAGAACATGAAAACAAAACCTTAACCTAAAAAAAGTTAACAAAGGTTCAACATCATATAAGAGTTATGGTTCTTGGATTTAAGGTTCTTGGATTAAAGTGTTGGGGAGAGGGGGCTGGGTTCACATGGTGCACCAACGGTGAACCCCAACACTACCTGCCATCCTAAAAATTTTCAAGCAAATGCCTAATAACGTAAGTAGTGGGTGTACTTTTTTATTGATATAAGGTTGAAAATAGTTTTGAGAAAATAAATTGTTATTGGGAATATATATTTTGAATGATTTTAAAAATAGATTAAGATTGTTATCTTACATTGAATGATGTTTTTCTAGTTATTTTCAAATCATAAGGATAAAGTATCCCAAGAAAAATTACATGTATTTGCATGCAAGAATCACTGAGGCAATCGGTGTGTGACTTGGATAGTATACATGTACATGACCACGCCCACTTATTTTTTATACATATTTTTTTTTATTTATAGATCTAGTATATATGGATGAAATTTTTAAAAACAAATTTTCTTTGTTGATTTATTGAAAATAAGATATTTTAAAAACATTTTGAATGAAAAATATTTTATAAGTGAAAAAATAAAATGTATAAACAAGAGGGCCATGATGGCCCTGAGGTCGCTCACCTGTATATAGGCCCCCGGAGCGAGGCCAGTTTAAACCCCAGGGCTTTTATTTGAACAAACTTGGAAGACATCCATTAGAAGATGTTTCATGATGTTAAGTTTTTACTACATACATATAATGAAAAACAATGAAACCCCCCCCCCCCCAGCAGGGCCAATTTTAACCTAAGGGCTTTTATTTGAACAAACTTGGTAGACACCTATAAGCAGATGTTTCATGCTTAACATCTAAACTCTAGCTCATTGGGTTTTTTAAAAGAAGATTTTTTAAGTTTTTACTATACACATATAGTTAAAAACAATGATGCCCATGGGGCGGGTCCAGGTTTGACCCCAGGGCTTTTATTTGAACAAACTTTGTAGACACTTACTAGAAGATGCTTCGTGCTTAATATCTAAACTGTAGCTATTTGGGTTTTATCAAAGAAGATTTTTAAGTTTTTGCTATACACATATAAGGAAAATCAATGCCCCCCGGGGCGGGGCCAATTTTGACCCCAGGGCTTTTATTTGAACAAACTTTGTAGACACTCACTAGAAGATGTTTCATGCTTAATATCTTAACTCTAGCTATTTGGGTTTTTTCAAAGAAGAATTTTTAAGTTTTTGCTATACACATACAGGGCTCACGCTGTCGGTCGCCATAGTCGCCATTTGCGATTATTTTATAAGATTGGCGATTATTTTTGCATTTTGGCTACAAAATCTGGCGATTATTTTTTACTTCCAACAGTGTTTATATAAGGTGTAAAAATCGATAATGAATGCAGTAGACCCAATTAACACCAGCGGGGTGCATTTAATTGAGTGTCAACTTTTTACCGGTCACGTGCTGCTAACTATATATAGTATATTGCCCGAGGTGAAAAAATACATGCGAGATGTATAATTGTATAAGTACTTTAAAGATATTGTCCAGCATTTATAATAGCCTTCAAATATCCGTCAATTAGCCACAAAAATCGTTTTAAAATTGATAAACTGGATATTGACTTACCCAAAATTTACCGTGAATTGCAGTAAAATTTTATTTTGCAAATTTTGATTTTTTTTTTGTTTTAAGCTACTTGACTAAATCGCCAGTTGAAAACAATGGTAAAATATTTAAAAAGTATTAACTTCCAAACAACTATTTGCACAACAAATAAAATTGTGAATATTTCCTCAGAAAACTGGAAAAATCCGATTGTCACATATTTTCGCGACACCGATAATTTTGATATTTATTTAAAGGTGAAATAAGCTATGTTCTGTTTAAAAATCTTTACTACTATGGCAGAAAATTTGTATTACATTGGTGATGATGATAATTTTCAGTAAATTATTCAGAAAAAAGGCTGCATTCTGTGAATGAGTTTGCAAACTTGTGTTATTTGAACTTATTTCTATAGGCTAATATGACCTAGATCTACTCCAGTTCTAATTGACAGTGGTTATAGCTGACAAAATTTGATTAGAACAAACAAAAAAAGTTGTCTGATAACAGCATTATGTAAATTTATAATTAATCTTTAATATTGTTATACAGTAAATATACTAATTATAACGTTTTTATTCTGTTCTATAATAATAATTAAAGTTGTGGTTCTATTTAAAAAAAAGGTAGTATTTTTTATCAATATACACAAATGTATCAGTTTATTTAAGAATCCTTATAAAACTGAAAGTTTTATATAAATGTAATGTTTATTTAATCAACTGCTTATGTTGTTAATCGCTAATTCGTGAATAGTCCGCTGATCTTTTGGCTATTATTTTTTTAAGTTGAAATTATTGGCTATTATTTTATTTGAGCCAGTGTGAGCCCTGCACATATAAAGAAAATCAATGACCCCCGGGGCGGGGCCAATATTGACCCCAGGGCTTTTATTTGAACAAACTTGGTTGACACCCATATGAACATGTTTCATGCTAAATATCTTAACTCTAGCTCTTTGAGTTCTTTAAAAGAAGATTTTTTAAGTTTTTACTATATGCATATAGGGAAAATCAATGACCCCCTGGGGCGGGGCCAATTTTGACCCCAGGGCTTTTATTTGAACAAACTTGGTAGATACTCACTTAAAGATGTTTCATGCCAAATATCTAAGCTCTAGCTCTTTGGGTTTTTTAAAAGAAGATATTTAAAGTTTTTTCTTTCGGTTGCCATGGCAACCAGAGTTCTGCATGGAATTAAATTCTTTGAACAATTTTTAAAGGTGACCACCAAAGGAACATTCCTGTGAAGTTGGATGAAATTGGCTTAGCGGTTTATGAGGAGATGTCATTTAAAGTAAAAGTTTACGGATGGACGACGGACGGATGACGGACGAAAAGCGATCACAAAAGCTCACCCAGTCCCTGTCACTTTGTGACAGATGAGCTAAAAATAGGTGGGCGTGGTCATGTACATGTATACTATCCAAGCCACCCACCGATTGCCTGTGGCAAAAATATCAAGATTTTTTAAAGTTTTTTATTTTTTTTAAAGAAACTAAAAAATTTAACATTTTTTTTAAAAAATGGGAAAAAAACCCTACAAAAGGGAAAAATTTTTTCCCTTGGAAAAATTTTTGTTTTTCTTTTAAGTTTTTAAAACTGAAAACACCTGTGTGGACGTGCCAGCACTTCGGGTTAATGGGACTTTTTCTCAGATCTCTATATAAAGTTGCATTTTTACCAAAAACCAATGAAAAACTATGGGATTATGTGGTTTTCTGAGAATCCTGAACTGATATATCATACTACAGGGAATTGTTATCATAGTTATTGATTCGCTGGTAATACGGGGAAGTCAAAGACCGGGCCCGCGAAGCGGGTCCAGGCTTTGGCTTGCCCGGCTATAGACTACATTGTGTATATTTAAAAGAAAATCAAATAAAAAACAATTAAAAAATATATAGAATTCTATACCTATCAATGAAATTTTCAGTGTCAGTTCTAGTCGGGCGCCGCCATTTACAATGTAACTCAATGATAAAAGGCGGGTTATTCCGATAACGGAACAAATCTCAACTTTTCGGATAAATAATAAACGTCAAGTGTTCCGAGTGAAAACGGAAGTGGTGCATGTAATACGGGGAAGTCAAAGACCGGGCCCGCGAAGCGGGTCCGGGCTTTGGCTTGCCCGGCTATAGACTAGTAACACATGAATATTTAAAAGAAAATCAAATAAAAAACAATTAAAAAACATATAGAATTCTATACCTATCAATATAATTTTCAGTGTCAGTTCTAGTCGGGCGCCGCCATTTACAATGTATGTCAATGATAATAGATAACGGAACAAATTTCAACTTTTCGGATTAGTAATAATCTTCGAGTGTTCCAAGTGAAAACGGAAGCGGTGTATGTAATATCGAATGACACCTTTAAAACGGAAAGAATGAAAGGATTTTTTTTAACGACTTCCCCGTTCATAGGCTTTGCCTAATTTCATATTACCGAATGACAATTTTAAAACGGAAATAATGAAAGGAATTTTTTAACAACTTCCCCGTTCATAGGCCTTGCCTAATTTCATATTACCACACGCCTCTACATGTAACATATCATTCTATCTTGAACTGCTAACTTCATAAAAATATTGCCTACAGTATGGCATGATGAAATTGATTTGCTAAATATTATTGGTGTGAAATACCCAATTCTCAATAATCAGAATTCAGATAAATTTGGTAAGTCAACAGATCAGAATCCATTTTTAATGATTAAAGAAAAAAGTAATAATGTCAGATCCTTGATGCTGGCATACAGAAGGATAAACATACCCTTTGACATCCAATTAGTTGTCTCAACATATTTTATGAACTCAGCTGTCACCTTCACAGGAAAAGTCATTAAAAATATTTACCGTTCATTTATGTAAAAGTATTAACTTTAATTCCAACATTGTATTATCATAGAAAAATAATATCAATTGTTTTAAAGTATATCTGCAGGTTTCAGTCAATAAGCAAACAGCGCTTGATCTCTTTCTTAAATATTCATTTTATATATAATAACTAGTCGCTTCTGCATCCGGTTGATTTCAAGATGGCGGCGCCCATGAAACAAATTCGAAGAGTATTTTCGTTTGTTCACAGAAGAAATTCTACAGTAAGGAGTAATTGTCATTTAATGAAAACTTAAATTTTAGTTCGTAAGGCGAAATATTTTAGCATTCATTGCCTTTCAGATTTAATAGATGTTTTATTCATTGAAAAAAGGCTCTGGTTATCAGTTGCCGGTGTAACATTAAATTTTGACCCCGTTGAAAATTGACCCAATGGGCCATTTTTCAATGTTGATAACAGAACCTTGGTGATTTTTCAACGTTGAGAATTGACCCTGCCAACCATTCAACATTAGATTTTAAACAGAATTGATCAGTAGTTAAATTTTGACCACATTAGCAGGTCTAGCATATTGCCAGATTAGTGCATGATGCACCAATATGTGTACGCACGGATTTATATTACAAGGATCGGACACTTTCGTTTAGCTTAAAGTCCCGTCGCGCGCATGTGCGGAATCGGATAAAGGTGGACAGAATGAGATGGCGGAACGTGCGGAGTACGAAATATGACAGATTTTCACCGGAGTATGTGGTGTTATTGCAGCTTTGTGAAAAATTATACACATATGAATGTATTGATACAGTAATATGAAATTAGGCAAAGCCTATGAACGGGGAAGTCGTTAAAAAAATCCTTTCATTCTTTCCGTTTTAAAGGTGTCATTCGATATTACATACACCGCTTCCGTTTTCACTCGGAACACTCGACGATTATTACTAATCCGAAAAGTTGAGATTTGTTCCGTTATCGGAATACCCCGCCTATTATCATTGACATACATTGTAAATGGCGGCGCCCGACTAGAACTGACACTGAAAATTTCATTGATAGGTATAGAATTCTATATATTTTTTAATTGTTTTTTATTTGATTTTCTTTTAAATATTCACGTGTAGTCTATAGCCGGGCAAGCCAAAGCCCGGACCCGCTTCGCGGGCCCGGGCTTTGACTTCCCCGTATTATTTTGTGTCGCTAAAGTATTATTATATGAAAATATGCTGATAGAACGCTGCAACGCTTAGTTAAAAGGTACCTAATTTAAAAAATATTTGCCTATTGTTTAGGCATACTCTCTACACTTCGCCGCCCTTTTACTTCAAGCACGAATTATTACCGCGATTCAGAATAAGATAATCGTTTTTTACATGGTTTAATGATGGCATTGCAAAAAAACGTTTCTTGATTGCTAAAAAACTTTTAAAGAAATTCATGTTTGAAATGTGTCTTTATTTCTGTGAATTATTTCCAAATGATTTGTACATTTTTTATTTGATTAGTAAATATTCTACTTTATTAATTATTAAGTGCTATTAAATATATTTTCAGATCATTCTAGACAAGCATTCCTATATAGATGAATTCATTAGATTGGCAAGGAAGAAACTTTAATTGGCATAGAGAACAGCTGTTTTATAATATTTATTTTTTATTTTGAAACATAATTTTCATAGATATCCTTAAAAACAATTCACGTCAAATGATTTATTTATCACATGTTTATTTTCCATCATTTTTCAGAGAAAGGACTATACAAATTTAGTGATATATTTTCAATTTCATTTATAAATGTTAATAAAGAAAATAGATTTACATTGTATTTATATATATCCTCTTCAGAATCATTTTCTTACCACATATGCCATGAACTGTAGTTAAAGACCGCGCATATACAAAATATACATTCAAATTATATTTTGTTTTGAAGATTGAGTGTTGCAATTATCACAAGTCATGTAACCTGGTAATGAAAGTTTGGAAATAAAGTTTTTTTAATTATCACTTACCCCCCTTCAAAAAGTAATTAAACTTGAAAGAAATTTAAGCGATGTGTAAAAAATAATCAACAGTTACTTTTATTTCGCAAAATACTGACTCAAAACTGTAAAGATTTTTATTGTTTTTCTAGCGTTACATTAAAAAGTATAATAAATATCTTTCTACAGGCATTCAAATAAAAAGAATAATTAAAATATACGGATTAAAATATACGAGTGACATTAAAAAGGCCGGAATCGAGACAGCCACACGAGAGAACTTTACTGTTACGATGATTGTCTACTTCACTGCACCGACATTTGAAAACAGATTTACAAAAAATAATAATGATATAAATGACGAATGAAATTTAAATATTCTATGAATATGGCAATATTGACAATCTCGGCAATATTTTGTACTAAAAAATGAATAAATTTTCTTCACGTGTAAAGGCCGCAATACATTACACGTAAAACAATTGTGCGTTAATAAATTTGACTACATAACCCAACAAATCTTAAATATTGCATCTTTGATCATCTGTGAATAACTTACATCGGCTTCTTTTTTGTTTTGAAACTGAAAGTATTATGGTACCGTAATAATAAATTTCAAATACCTGCTTTTTATATAAAAAAAATGTAAATTTACTGCGGATTTCGTCAAAGTTAATTTTTTAACCGTCGTTGCGGACAGATAAACTGTACCTTTAAAAAATAAATTAGATATTTGAATTAACCAAGTATTTTTTCTTCAAAATAAACTTTAAATTTCCAAAATCGGATAATAAATGAAAAAGCTATATGGTATTTTGTAAAGTAGGTATCCGTTGCGAACGGGCATTTACGCTTCCCGCCGGTAAATTATCGATCGATGTACCTTTATCGGGTGCACGACAAGATATTTAAGCATTTATATAGGGTTAACTGGGAGTGTCCGATCCCTGTAATATAAATCCGTGGTGTACGATGCACCAATTGGTGTATTTTATGATGCACCAATTGGTGTACCAGACTATCATTCAAATCTAATATGAAATTAGGCAAAGCCTATGAACGGGGAAGTCGTTAAAAAAATCCTTTCATTCTTTCCGTTTTAAAGGTGTCATTCGATATTACATACACCGCTTCCGTTTTCACTCGGAACACTCGACGATTATTACTTATCCGAAAAGTTGAGATTTGTTCCGTTATCGGAATACCCCGCATATTATCATTGACATACATTGTAAATGGCGGCGCCCGACTAGAACTGACACTGAAAATTTCATTGATAGGTATAGAATTCTATATATTTTTTAATTGTTTTTTTATTTGATTTTCTTTTAAATATTCATGTGTAGTCTATAGCCGGGCAAGCCAAAGCCCGGACCCGCTTTGCGGGCCCGGTCTTTGACTTCCCCATATGAAGACCCATTATTTTGTAAATATAGCAGTGTGAATTGTGGCACCTGCACTTACTATAGATAATATTCATAGAAATATCCTGAAACTAAAGATATTGATGTAAACACTGGCAATTCTTGCACTTTTTAGCTCGACTTTTCTATGAAAAGGGGAGCTATCCTACTCGCCCTGGCGTCGGCGTCGGCGTCACACCTTGGTTAAGTTTTTCGTACCACCCCACTTTATTTCAGAAGTATTACAAGTATGGCATTGAAACTTACCATACTTGTTCACCATCATAACCTCCATCTACAGACAAGAGTACATAACTCTGTCAAGGTTTTTGACAGAATTATGGCCCTTTTTTGACTTAGAAAGTGTATTGAGCTTGGTTAAGTTTTTTGTACCACCTCACTTTATTTCAAAACCATTGGAGGTATTGCTTTGAAACTGACCATACTTGTTTACCATCACGACCTTCATCAACAGACAAGAGGACATAACTCTGTCAAGGTTTTTGACAGAATTATGCCCCTTTTTGACTTAGAAAATACATTGAATATGGGTAAAATCCACTTATTGCCTTAACCCTTTGAGATATTGCTTTGAAACTTTTAATGCTATTTCACATCATTACCCCCATCTGTACGCAAGAGAAGGTAACTCTGTCAAGGATTTGTTTTAAAAATTAAGGCCTTTTATCGACTTAGAATCTTGGTTAAGTTTTTAGTACCAGTCCACTTTTTGACTGAACTGTTTGAGATATTCATTTGAAAGTTGGAATACTTGTTTACAATCATGATTCCCAAACATGTCCAGGAGAAGGTAATTCTGTCAAAGATTTTATTTGAATTATGGCCCTTAACTGTCAATGTTTTGTATTATAGGCAAGCACTAAAAAACTTAAAAAATCTAAAAAAATTCATTCCTATCCACTTGTTCACTTTACCATAAATTATGTCATATAAACATTGCTGTAATATTCAAGGGTATCAAACAACTAGTTCACTTTAAAAATACAGAGATTCTTGTATTGCCTTTTACTGCAAAAACTTTTTTTATTGGCAAGCAATAAAAAAGTCGAGCGCGCTGTCTTACGGACAGCTCTTGTTTGAAAAACTGAATGATACACTAATTGGTGCATCCCAAAATTTGAAGTGGTTATTTTTTTACTTTTCAGTCAAGAGACAGTTTTAAAACTAAGTATACCAGATCAGAATAATAACTAGATATGAAATATGGAAATGAATTTATGTCTGAAAGTTACAATTTTTCAGTGGATGAAAACATTAAAATCTCCTGAAGTTCATTTAGATCAGAAGTTGTGTTTATTCTTTGTCAATAAAACAGACTATTACCAATGTTATGTGCAGGTGCCAAAACATGATTATAAATAAACAACAAATTATTTACAGAAACGCATTTATCAAAACTTTTATTCACCGATCAGTGTATGATAAAATACATCAATTTGTGCATTATGTACCAACTTGTGCATCATACACTAATCTGGCGATATACTAGACTTGATTAGGGTCGTTATTTAAACAGCGTTAACGGTTACTTAAATTTCAGTAAAAGTTACTAAAACGTCTGGGCTATTTGTAGCGGACAAACACTTATAAGCAAAAGAATCTCTCACAGGCGTCATAAAAATGATTTCACAAGCATAACATGGCCGGGCCTGGACCCATGTGAACTACTTTAATGAGAAAGGCAAGATAAACTATATGTTTGAGAGGGAACTGTTTTAACAACAGATATGGTTCTATGTGGTCAGAGTCCGACATACCCATGGAGACTTCCACAGAGAAAGCATTTTTTCAAAGTTAGTTTTTTTTATCAAATGATAATGATCATTTTACGAACTGGTATAATCAACTGTTGAAATTCATTAGAATATATTCTGTAGCTAGCCAGGGTATATTTAAAGATATATTCTCTTAACATTGTGTTTAGAATGACTATATATTCCATATGGATATAAATATAAATCCTTATAAATAAAATGATCTACTGTATAACCATTAATGAATTAATATCTTCCCGAGCTTTAAAATGATAATTTTACATTGCTGCAATATGGACCCAATTAAGGTATGATTTAGGTAATCATAGTTGTGCACTTTAAATTATGACTTGTTTTCTAGACTAATCTTACTCAACATTAATACATGTATAAAGTCAATGGTTTCTTATCTCATACCAGTAAATATATTCTCCTGGCACCTTGCTACTTACTTTTCTGTACTGATTAGGGGAAGTAACTGTTGCTGAAACAATTAACTTGTTTCAGTGGTTACTTCCCCCAGATCAGCATGTCCAAATTTATGAGACATTGAAATATAACAGGGCTGTTGCATATCCTTAAGTTAATTAATGTTCATTCTAAGAGGGGTAGATTGGTTTTAACTAATGTGATATCTTTTAAACATTAAATATATATATAAGTTCTGGAACAAGAAAATTTACACTAAAAAATAACTGACGTTAAATTGTTTTTCTCAATTTAATTTATAGCCAATTTTTCTATAATCATCAGGGCAAATAAACATAAAACCATAAACCATGAAATCCAGAGACCCAGGGTTCCAGTCCTGGCTGCGGTGTTATGATTTTTCATGTGAATTTTCTGTTTATATACAACTGTATATAAATACACATGTATATATATATATGTGTGTACTTGTATTATTTCATAATTTAACTCTTCATATTTATATATTTGCTATCATTTAAAGAAATGAAACAATTTTGTTTGTATTTGATTTAGTTGCTACAATGTCGTTATTCAAGCAGCAAGGAACACTCCAAGTTCTTCCCTGCACAAACAACAACTATGCTCCCTGATAAATCATTTGAAGGAAAGACGGCATTTATTACTGGTGGGGGAACTGGACTAGGTCGAGGTATGGCAACAACTCTATCCAAGCTGGGTGCACAAGTTGTCATTACAAGCAGGTATAGTGTGACTAATATTCATACCTTTTATAATATTTGCAGTCTCAATTCTCTTTCTTATTCTATACCAATTCACACAAAGTATTGACTCAACTTCTAGATGTTTTGGTTTAATAATTATACTGTAGTTTTGAATAACTTTTTATGTTTCTTGTCTGTGCAGGAAACTTGATGTACTTAAAGGTACAGCTGAAGAAATCCAAAAAGAAACTGGAAATAAGGTATAGTTAGTGTATACTTTTTATTTAAAAAAAAAGGATATAATTATTAATTCTTTAATTATTTATGCTATTTTTTCATGATATTGTAAAATGAATGTAAGTTTTGTGTTAGGGATGCAGGTTTTATGATATTGTCATAAGTTTTATATTTATAATCAACCCCTTTATTGGATATGCATTAACAAAGGTTTTTCTATCTACATAAGAAGATGTATTAACTTTAAAAGCAGTTGAGACAAAAGTTAAACAGAGCTTGAATTGAAAGTTTAAAACATGTCCAAAGCTCATAAAAATTGAAAAAAGAACTTGCCTGAGCTTACTGTATTTATGACGGTCTCAATTTCGCTTTTGGCATTTGTCACAATTTCAATTAAAACATTTGAATAAAACTTAGAACAAAAAGAGGGAAGGATTTGAATAATTTATTTTTTGTAAATAAAACTTAAGAAGAAACAAAGAATAAAAAAATCACTTCAGACAGATGGTTTGATGCAAACATATTTGTATTACATACACATGCCATGTATGTGAATTTTTTCTTCTTTATCAATGCTTGATAAAACTTGCCTAACATATTTTTTGTGATTTGAATGGCAAGTTTGGATATGGGTCATCTAGGAAAATTAGGTCACCAGGTCAAATATAGGAACACCTTGTTAAAATTAAAATTATCAAATAAACTTCCTGAAACAAGCGTTAACAATTGTCAGTCACATTTGAGTAAATGATTTTTGTCAATTTTTCAAGTAAGAATATGCACCTCCCATGGTCAAAAACTAGGTCATTAGATTAAAGAGAAATCTTGTTACTTTTAGCATGGTGTTGTGCTCACACTTACTGAGTATTAAATGAAAAAGAGTTGCATATTTGACTCACATTATGGCCCTCTTGTATGTTTGTAAGTACATGACTGTATAATGAAATTTTCTCAATTCATACCTTGATACATATATATATATATTGTTGTGTGAGCAGGTGTTAGCAGTTGCAGCAGACGTTCGTGATCCTGCTGGTATAAAGACGGCTGTAGATGAATGTGTAGATGTATTTGGTTTACCTAACATCATTATCAACAATGCTGCCGGCAACTTTATCTCGCCTTCAGAACGACTCTCACCAAATGCTTGGAAAACTGTGGTGGATATTGTTCTTAATGGAACAGCATATGTGTCATTAGACATTGGAAAAAGACTTATAGAGGCTAATCAAGGTAAAATAGGAATAATGTGCTGGTTATAGGTAAATGGAAAACACATTCTGTTTATCAAAAAGTAACATTTTGTATGAATAGAAATCCTTGTTGATTAACCCATTACTTCTTGAGCATTTTGTGAAAAAAAGCTGTTTTCATTGAAATGCTTCCTGTTAAAAATTGCTATGAAACTATAAAAAATGTTCAATACTGTTCAAACTTGGCACAAATGTTGACTGGACCATAGCCTTTGTAAAGGTATACTCAATCTTAAATGTCCTGTTACAATGGTATGAGGGGACATTTCAAAATTGCCAAAAATCACTATTTGCATTGATTTTTCCATCAAAACTGATTTCAAAGTACTGCGACTCCTCAATGGATTGAGATAAAGTCAAAGGCTTTTCAGCAAGACACACCTTACCTAAAGGTCGACCTGAGGCCATTTTTAGCCTCTCACAAGTCCAAAAATTTGTGGGGCTCTGCTGACCCCTTAAACTTTCAAACCCCAAGGGGGCAGATCCCCCCTCTGGCATCCCCTTGAGAATGGATAGCGCCGAACAAGTGATCACTTTTTTAACACCATTTTTCAAACGAAAACAAGTGTTTGGCATCTAAATAGCACATTTTTTTTCCACTATTTGAGGCCTCAAGGGGTGGTGGGGGTGAAAAGACGTCTATATGAAGTAAAGGATTGATATCAAGGATCTTTCCAATATTGATGCAACTCTATTGTCCAAGAGGTTTATGGGTAGAAAGCAAAAGTTGACAAAGGACAGTAGAGTGAGTAGACATAGAATCTGATTATAATACCTCACCTAAGCTCATTATGAAATAAGCAAATTTTAGCTGTCTCGTACCTGACATTGTTTGTAAATTCTCAAGTTTACAATTCACTTTGACTTTGGATCTGCCAGTTAAGATGTTCATTAAAAATAATCAGGAGCTTAATACCATTACAATTAGAAATTTTGTGTTTTATAGACTTTGCTTCGAGTGATGTAAATATTTCTGCTTATGTAACAACCATGATTCCTGACATAGAATAAGTTCTGTACTAATGGTAGACTAACATTAATTTCTAGGTGCAGTGTTTCTAGCAATTACTACAATATATGCAACAAGTGGTTCAGGTTTTGTGACACCAAGTGCTGCAGCAAAAGCAGGAGTTGAAGCCTTGGCTAAGTAAGATTTTGTGTTTATAGTTCAATTCTTTAAAATAAATCCAATAAAATATTATTTTCATTTTATCTGTACTGCTCATATTGTTTAACTTTATGGTATTCAGAAATATTTTAATATTATTGTTTCTAATAAAGACACTTGTCATTGAATGCCCATGAAATTGAAACAAGTAGGAATATCTCTTTGCATATAAACAGGTATACACTATAAGAACAACAAAATTTGAATGTTTTGCTGTTTGAAGTATGATCAGAAAATTTCAGCTTTTGTAAAAGATAACCCCACAAACTGTTATAATGCAACATTTTTTTACAGAGGTAGTTAGTTTGAATTAAACATACATGTACACGTAATAAGACTATATGACAATACAAACAAATACCTGGCAAGTTATGCTCAAATTAGCATAATTAAGTAATACCATTACATGTATTTTAATAAGTCAGGATTTTTATTGTGTAATATTTTAGATCACTGGCAAGTGAATGGGGAAGATATGGTATTAGATACAACTGTTTACAGCCTGGACCAATCAAAACAAAGGTATTCTTAAGCTTGCCTGAGCTGTACATTGTGCTGATTATGAATAATCTTAACATCCTTTCTTTACCGCTGAACATGTTTTGGTGAAACTGGAAAGAATTGATTCTTGTGATGGTACTTTACATATTAAATCTAAAATAGTTACGTTCTGCAAAATGATATGCCAGCCAGAGATAAAGATTTGGAACTGTGAGGCAGATTTCAATGATTTGTTCTACACTAGCAAGGGAATTGTTTAAATCCCAAGGTCTAAAAATGAAATACATTTAGACATCTTTTCACAGATTTTAATGAATCTCGACATGAGTGATTTGTTGGTAGTACTGAACAAAAACAGCTAAGATGGCCACGGAGCTAAATTTAGAAATGAGCATTAGATGACATCTCCTCCTGTAGCACTGAATTTGGTGAAATTTGATTGAAATTATCTAAAAATAGCTAAAATTATTGCCAGTATACTGACCAAGATGTATGTCAGAGGTGAAAATACATGTAGTAATAGCATTTAAAAAGATTAACTTTGACTTAAAATGGCGTTAAGAGTTGGTCCAGATCAACTTCTATTCTGGTAATAGTTATGATCTTTTATACTATGACTTTATATTTCAAATTTTCTGACAGGATATCTATTTTGATTTAAGGGAGCATTTAGTAGATTAGATCCTACTGGTGAGTGGAGTAATAAAATGATTGATGTACTACCAACTGGTAGGTTTGGTGAGGTGCAGGAATTGGCCAACTTGGTTTCATACATGGTTAGTGACTACAGCTCCTGGATGACAGGGGAGGTAAGAATTGATAATTTAACAAAGTTTTACAATAACTGTAAAAACGTATAAAAATATCAGAAATTCATGATTTTATCCATGTAATTAATTTTAGAATTTTCTTAAGATAGAAAAGTTAAAGCAGCTACATGTTAAGAGTTTCTAAATTCTATATTACCCTTTATATGTGAATATATGTATGTTTCAAAAGTCCTTTGGCAGTTCTCTCCAAAGAAAGTTCTTAGCTTGACTTAAAGAATAGTTTAAAAAAACTTCATTCCAGTAATGTTCATTTTGTTCAACTTTAAGTAGTAGAAAATATTATTTTTAAACTATGAATGTAAACAGTTGGGGTAAACACTCAGGGTTTAATACTTAAATATAGCATGAATCTATGTATTCCCTTTTGAACTTAGAAAATTTTACTGGCTCAACAATCAAAGTATATTGAGAGCCTGTTGGCTGGTAACTGTTATTACTTTATTTATATGTGATTTTATGTATTATATGTGTTAAATGGTAAACGTTCAGGATGTGTCATGTTTAATTGTATCTTTGTCAGGTGGTAAAATTGGATGGTGGAGAACTATACAGTCGTGCTGGCTCATTTAATGAACTACGAGCAGTTAGCAATGAACAGTGGGACATGTTAGCACAGATGATCAAAGCTACTAAAGGCTCATAAATAACTTAACATAACATTTGTGGATAAATTTATTACTAGGCTAGTTGTGATACTGCTTTAAAAGTATATATATATGACAAATTTTAAACCTATAATGAACCTTTTTCTTTTGCCTGATTTTATTAATGAGCCTGACATTAAATATTTATCTATTTATATTTATTGTTAGGGGTATACAATTATCTGTCAAGAACTTCTAGCTGAGTGCAAAAGGGTTAGATAAGTTTTAATTATTAGGTGTTCTCTCTTTACTAGTCTTATTTCACCATAATCACCTGTATTTTATAATAATTTATGTACAAGAATTCATAACTGGGGCCATTATGCTAGAATTTGTATTGTTAGCTCACCTGGGTAAAAGGTATTCAGATATTTGTGATAATAGTCTGATTGTGATATCTGTCACATGGTGTGTATCTTCATTCAACAGCATCTCCTCCCAGACAAAACAAGAATAAATCTATTAAAGGTGGCTCACATCAAATATTAACTGTGATGTTCTGATGCATAATTATATGTCATGCCAGCTTTAGATAGACTGTAACATTGAGAAATTCTTGTCAAAAACTGTACTGCCAGTGTCTTAGATGATTGATATGTAGCGTTAGCTTCTATAAGTTAATAAGGGAATGCTCAGCTGAATAATTTAATTAGGGCCTTCATAGCAATCTTGCTTCATTATGTTGGGAACAAGAATCATGGTATTATTTACTTTTAATTTCAACCAATCATATTCCCATCATTATTTCAAGACTATACTCTCAGGTTTTACTTGCTATTTTGTGTAAATGCAAACAATATTCAAAGTCCTGAAATACTATGCCAATGCTGGTGGCATCACTATACTCTCTATTTATATTGCTTTCAGTTCATGTTGATTTAGAATTACAATAAATTACTATTTTTCTAAATCTTTTGTGTTATTTGTAACATTGTTATGCCTGTTAGAATTGTGTTGTTTTTTTGTATGTACGTTCATATAGCTGATTCGTTACAAGGTGATCATGTAAAGAGATAGATTTGTCACACAACAAGCAATTGTAGCATACTGCTACGTGGTCTTTAAATTATTTTTCCATACTGTAATCATCCATCTGATTTCGTTGTTATTGTAGAATTGCTACCGACTGTTGTTATTGTTTCTCAAATTTTAACATGTCAGCTTTGAAATCGTATTTTACTGTAAGCAGGCTGTCCAGCGTCCCTAAAATTCCTAAAAAATCCTAATTTTTTTCAGTTTGGCTAAAATTCCTAAAAAAATGAAAAATTCAAAGGGAATTCCTAAAAATGCCCTATTTTTTTCACTTAAATTCCTAATTTTTTTTTATATTTTATGATAAACATATCTGAAACAACCATGTTTCAATCACAACCTAAATTTGAACAGTGAAGCTGATGTCATGTCTGACTAAATTGCATAAAGTGACATGTTGTATTTACTTCAACTCCTGCAGAAATGCCATACTTCATTAATTATGCCACCGCAGCATCTGCGATGCGGTGGCATATAGCGATTCACCTGTGTGTTTGTTTGTTTGTGTGTGTGTGTGTTATATAGATTATATAGTGAACTTAAAAAATTATCTTGTGAAAAACCACTAGTCCAATTTCAACCAAACTTGGCAGGATTGATCCTTTGGTGAAGGGCTTCCAAAGTTGTTCAAAGAATTTCATTCCATGCAGAAATCTGGTTGCCATGGCAACCAAACGGAATTATAAGAATAAATTTAAAAAATCTTCTTGTAAAGACCCAAAAGGCCTAAGACTTAGATATTTTGCATAAGGCATTGTCTGGTAGACCTCTACCAAGATTGTTCAAATTATAGCCTTGGGGTCAAAATTGGCCCCGCCCCAGGGATCATTGATTTTCACTATATGTACTTATAGTAAAAACTTAAAATACCTCCTTGTAGAGACCCAAAGGGCCTAGAGCTCAGATATTTTGCAAAAGGCATTGTCTGGTAGACCCTTACCAAGATTGTTTAAATTAAAGCTCTGGGGCCAAATAGCCCCGCCCCGGGGGTCATTGATTTTCACTATATGTACATATAGTAAAAACTTAAAATACCTTCTTGTAAAGACCCATAAGGCCTAGAGCTTAGATATTTTGCATAATGCATTGTCTGGTAGACCTCTACTAAGATTGTTCAAATTATAGCCCTGGGGTCAAAATCGGCCCCGCCCCGGGGGTCATTGGTTTTCCTTATAAGTATATAGTAAAAACTTATAGTAAAAACTTTAAAAAAATTTTAACTAGCAACTTACAAATGCTAGAGGTTAGATATTTTGCATGAAACATTGTGAAGTGAACTTCTAGCAAGATTGTTCAAATTATAGCCCTTGGGTCAAAATTGCCCCCACCCCGGGGGTCATTGATTTTCAATATATACATATAGTAAAAAATCAAAAAATCTTATTGTCTGAAGGTACAAGGCTTAGAGCTTTAATATTTGTTAAATGATTTCATCTATAGGTACTCTACCAAGTTGTTCAAATTTTGCCTCTAGTGTCAAAATTAGCCCCGCCCTGGGGGCTATAGGTTTTTCTTATATGGAACCTTTACCAAGATAATGTTCAAATTATAATTGTTTGGTGGACCTGTATCAAGATTGCTTTGAATTAAACCCTTTGGTCCAAAATTTTGCCTTGCCCACGGGGTCAGTGACCTACTTTCTTGTCCTTTGATGTACAGCAGTGAAATTTTGACCATGTGCACAGTTTTAGTTGTAAAATTGAACTTTGATTTCAGATGACCTAGATTTTGATGATGTGACCTACTTTCTTGTCCTTTAATGTACAGCTATGAAATTTGAACCATGTGCATGGATTAAGATGTAAAGTGAATTTTGATTTCAGCTGACCTAGATTTTGACAAAGTGTCTTACTGTGTTGTCCTTTGATGTAGTCATGAAATTTAGGCTGTGTGAAATATGACCTTCACCACCAAATTCACTAGACTCGAGTGCATTGATATATTCCTACTCTAATCTTTTATTGAGTTTACAACAGATTTAACCACTAATCTGATAATAGGAATCAGATAGGTCAGGGATCTATGCATTATGGCAATCTTCAAAATTGTATAGAAACCAAAATAATCTGTATCTACACTACTATTTAGTGTTGTATTAATGCGGTGGCATAGCATTTTTCTCAAATGCAATCTTGTTGCTAGATATTATCAGAAAATAATAAGAAACTATTTGTTTTAAATGGACCAATGAAAATTGTACAACTTTGACTATATCAAAATAGTCACCTGTTTAAAATTGTGATAAATTTTTTTTCAAGGAAGTAACATTTTTATTGGCTACAGAGTTTTACCTCTGTCTTAGGTGTATTTAAAGCAACTATTTACATGATGTACCACTAAATTTCATCAGACTTTATGTAGGGGTCCCTATTAATAAAATCTTAATTTATAATCAAGTTATTTTCAAGTGATGACTGTAGAACAGATCTTTAGTAAGTGATACCAGCTGGCAGATCTAGAAAAGTTTCCATATTTACTAATTATAAAGTGGGTAAGGTAAACTGGCAGTAATGATTTGATGCTTTAACCATTTTGCCACCCAATTAGCGTACTTAGAAGTGACACCTTCAGCTTCCCTTTTTGTACACATCAACATGTACTGAACATATGTTATAACATATGGTGTAAGTTTTTTAAAATTGGAAAAAAATAACAGTTACTGTTGAAAATCATTGAAAAGACTGACACTTTTGTGAAATTTTCTACAATTTTTAGTAGCCTGATTTATCTTAAATAAATTCATCATAGGTGTACAGTATACCCTGCTGTTTGAATTTAAGTTTAAATATTCCTTGGTCCTGGAATGACTTGAGTGGGTCATATCGTTTTTATTGTTTTTTAAGAAAGATCAAGACTTGTTGAAAATGTTACCAACCTTTTAAAATGAATAAAATGTTGATAAAGAAATGCATTTATAGCTAAAATTAAATCTAAAACATAAATTTCCCCTTCCATTTATTATTGGCTAATCATAGCTTAACTATTGAATATTGGTTGTTCAGGGATATTTATAACTTTCAAAATGTTTTCATTCTAGTTATGTTTTAATGCAGTTTTTCAGCTCTTTTTAAAGGCAGTTGACCAGTGAATCCATTTATTCACTGGTGACTATAAAACACTTGAAACAAGTTTGCTATAACCAAACTAGAGCATTATTTGTAAGTTACTTTTGTGTCAAATATGCAAAGTTGAGCCCATATCATGGTCTTTTGAGGCAATAATTTAGTTATAAAATTCCAAATTTTAGCCCTAAAGTTTCTTTTATTTACCCTAAAATTCCTAATTTTAGCCCTAAAATTTCTTTAAAATTGCCCTAAAATTTGCCCTAATTTTTTGTCAGAAGGTGCTGGACAGCCTGTGTAAGAGAAGCAGGTGAAATCCAAGAATCGGTGAAAAATATAGCTTGAATAATTTACTTGCACCAGATAAAGCTTTTAGTAATATATTAGGTCAAATAGCTTATCCCTTTGAAAAGTTGATTATAAATTGATAAATTGAGATTCGGAGTAAGGCATGCATTTGATCAGCAGGTCCATTTGTTGACAGGATTTGAAGTACTTGGGAAAGAGCTATAAAAACCACCACGTTTATGTACTTTTATGGACTGAACGTGACAACAATATAACTTATTTAGATTGTTTTCTGTTTTGTTAAATAATATTTTGTACGAAAAGGTCATAGTAGCTTAACAGTTATCTGTTTACATAATTATTCCTGCACAAAAATACCAGTATAATGTCTAATTCTTGTTTTATGAACTAGACATCTGTTAGCAGATATAATGCGATGAACATGTTACAATCTCGTTGATCTGATTACTTGTATATTTATATAATTTATGCATCATGACACGTTATGTCACAAATGTTAATATCAGAAACAACAAAACATTTTTGTTATTAAAACAGGATAGTAAAAAACAGAATAAATTCTACGGTAAACCACATATGATATATACATATGTTATAGAAACATACATGTATTTTATACAGATATTTAGGCGACAATATTTGTTTAAAATTCAAACAATATTAATTTTTTTGCAAACTAAATTATTACGCTTTATATGTTTTAATGTGGCCAAGGACATAGACTGTTCCTGGTATATCGTTTCTCATATTGTCCTGGAAGACCATATTTTAAGGAAAGGCAAAATAGCTATAGAAAAATGCCCCCAACATCAGGCCTTTAAGGCAATAATTAAAATCACCACGTACATATTCTAACACAATACATGCGCTACTTGTCTCAACAACACTAAAAACTAGAAATATAATAGTTCTAATCAAACACAACTTTGGTTTCATATCTTTAAAGTTTCAAACGGCAACGGAACCTCTATATCTAACTGAATTGTTTCCTGAAATGGTTACAGTATCAAGTTGATAATAAATACATATTAATAAATGCAAACGTGCGCACACTGTATGACCTTAATTGTTTAACAAATTGCCTTTTGAAAATTAAATACATTTATAATCGGACAGAAAGAGAATTAAGTCTGCAGAAAGTTTTATGCTCGGTTCCAAGTTAACTTTAAATAAAATAGCCTCGACTGTGGTTTACAGGATACTCCGTGTTTAGTTTTTACTGGTAGATTGATAATATACCGTTGCGTTCATTTTTCTTGCTATGATAATTATATCAAAACTCTTTCTTAATGATTTGATTGACTGAATAATTGCAATTTATTTCTATTTGAACATAATTTTCTTGCTGCATTTGTTATGTTTTTGTCATTAAAATGATTATGTTTTTTTGCTATTAATACATAATTTATACGCTTTGTTCAATAATTTGTGATATTTCAACACTTTGTTCAATTAGACATTTAATTAAATGTAACACTCACAGTTTAAGTATGTTCTAATGTATAGTTAATTTAATGCAATTTGATGGTGTTTAGAGATGTGAATAGATTGCAGTATCGATGTTTCAACGCTAAATTTACATGATAAACTCTTTTTTAACCCTTAGTCTCTATTACCCGTGTGACCTGTGCAGACTAAGATCAGCTGTTCGCTATTTAATCTGTACTTATTTTGAATTTTCCCTACATATAAAGAATGGTTTAAGATGGACGTGTCCATGAAAGGTATTAAGCGGGGTAAGGATTAGTAAGAGGAAAAACAATTTATGTGTTGACATTTAGTTCTAGTAACAAACATTCACTGTTTGAAAATTTATTTATTTATTCTTGAAATAGTTAATCAAATGCTTTTGAGCTTGTATGTTGTTCGTCGTTTACAATCACATCATTACATTTATTCGATATTGTTTAGTTAACTATTTTTAAAACAAAACATCAACGCTAATATTACTTATGTTCGAGAATTTTATTATCTCATACACAGTTTTCTCAGTTTTAAGGAGGTCTGTGTTCATCAATTTTACATGCATGCCTTTTTGCAAGCCTTGAACGACTTGAAATTATTTCCATTCGATTCACACCCGCCCCAAATAAACATCTGACAACTTCTCGTCGTGTTGTTGTAGTAATATCTTTTCTTATGACCTTTGCAAGGACCAACCTTTACAGGGAGTGTACAAACGGCTTTCTTACATACTTTATTACATGTTTTCATTGAAAGAAAGTTATTTCCATTCGCCTCACAGCCACCCCACGTAAACTGTTGACATTTGTTCTTCAATGGGTTGTAATAGAATCGCTTAATGGCTGCTTTACATGGTCCGACTTTCTTAGATTCTAAACATGCACTTTGACTTTGACAAGGAGAATCCCCACATAACTCTTCACATTCCTTCTTTGTGATATAATTGTTCCCGTTACCACCACAACCACCGTATATAAACTCCTCACATTGGCATGTCTCCATATTGAAGAAGAAACGTTTTACATAACTTCTGCAAGGTCCTGTGTCTGGCTTTAGATTGCAAATGTGACATTTTTCTTTACCACAGACTCTGCGACATGTGGCAATGTTAAGAAAATTATTTTTATTTCCACCACAGCCACCATACAAAAATGATTTACATTTACAGTCGATTTTATCGTAATAATAACGCAACGTTCTCGCTTCACATGGACCAACATCTTTTGGCAAAAGGCAGGTTGAAGTTGGTTCCTCGCATTTGTTATAACCGCCGCAAGAATTTAGACATTCTTCTATTGTTTTAAAGTTGTTAGTGTTTCCTCCACAACCTCCCCAGATGAACTTTTCACATTGACATGTTTTTGTGTTGTATGCATAACGTGTTATCTTGTCATCACACCGGCCCACATCGGCTTGCAGATTGCAGAAGACTTTTGTATAACAATTGTTGTCACCACAACGCCTCTCACACTCTACCATTGTACTAAAGCGGTTAGCGTTGCCACCGCATCCACTGTATATGAATTTTTCACATCGGCATGTATTCATATTATATCCGTAACTAGGTATGTAAGCGAGACAAACTGTAGGTCCTCCACCATTTGGTTTGATCGGTAAATCGCAAATGTCAGTCTGGATGTTGCATTGAAAACATCCGCAATTAACGTTACACCACTCTTTAGTGAGAAAATTGTTTGCGTTACCACAGCCATTCCACTTAAATGGCTCGCACCTACAGGTTTTACTATTAAAGTACCATCTATCAAGATTCCAGTTTGTTTTACAGTATGTTACTGGTTTAGGCAATGCACAGACAGGGTTAGATTTCATAGGAACCTCGCACGATGCCTGGCAATGAGCGATGTCATTAAAATTATTTGCGTTGGCTTCACAACCTCCCCAACTGAATCTTTCACATCTACATGAAGATGCATTGTAAAAATATCTTGGATTGTTGCCTCTGCACGGGCCAACTTTTAGCGGTAATGTGCATGCTAAAATAAAGAATATCTATGTATGTAAAAACGTTGATCCGTTTTTTTATTTCAATAAATCATTTATAATGAATAATTTCATTTGAAGAAGCTTAGAGTGTATCATTCCTATGTGTGTACACTTCAAATAACGTTCTATATATATCCATTCTATATATATCTTACCAACGTAGCTCAATTCATTAAGGACCTATATATGGTTTAGATTATATCGAAAATTAAGATAAAACACTACATTTAGTTTGACAAAAAAATCAACATCTGAGTCAAAACGGCAGGAAAGAGAAAAAAATGTTGCTTTGTTCAATATACTGAAATAGTTTACCTGTTAATGGCTTTGGATTATTGATACAACACTTTCCACTTGCATCAGGATAATTTCCCTTGAACATACAAGTTGTGCCACTTGGACATGTACGACCAGCGATTGTTCCACAAATTCCACTCTGTCCATTAGGACATGTCTGATCTAGAAGTGAAATAGATATTGACTGTAATGCGCCACATGACAACGCTAATTTAATATCACGTATGCAGTTTTCAAATAGCACACAGACAATAAAATAATTTACTAATGATAATTTCGACAAAATAATAAACTCATTGTGAAAACATCTATGTCAGGGGTATTACGCCAGTAGGGCTTTCATGAACGTATTCGAGAGTGGAATCGAACAAAAATATAAACTAAATCTCTTTGTTATACTTTACATGTCTTTATAACCTGTATATTCGTTATTACCTAGTATTGGCTGTACACATTGTCTACCACATCCCACGCTACAACATTTTAGATTAGATGGACATTGACTATCCACCAAACAATATGGGTGTCTCACAAGACAGATGCCAAAACGATTGAAGATCGGACATTTTCCCGGCTTGTCTTGCCCTATAAGAGATGAAATGTTGAAAATATGACATGTTTTGAATTGATCTAATTTTCTTTTTTTTTGAAAGAAAAGAATAATCTATGGACTAGTATTTTCAAGTAATTAATCGCCATTTCAATTACGTATACGTTTAAATCTGTATTGAAATCTAAATACACTTACAGACAGTTTTTTTTTTCACTGATTAAAAATATAAAGATTATTCAAAAGTAAGTTTGCATTCACGTACAGCGTATTGATAATGCATGTACATTCTGTATATGTAGTTCTTATGTGTTAATTACATCTTTATTTCCGGACAAACTTATCAAAAATATTATGGTAACAAAATTTAAATAGGAATACATTTATCACACTTAACATAATAAATATTCCGTTTGAAAGATATATTTATTGATCAGTATATTGTACCTATATTGTACCTTAAAGTGTTTCCATTGAGCTTTTTTGACAGACGATTATTTTTCGAGATTATTGTTCCATTTGATGTAGGTCTAGCTTTTGTGATCATTCGCCGACTCCGTTTTTCCAGAATAATTATTGAAAAGCCTCTCAAATCGGTCTCGTATTAGCACAAAATTACAATTTTCAATTTGTTTGTTTTTATATCATCTTTCGCATATCTTTTTGTTTTAAGAGCTTATCTATGTAAGAAATTCAAATTTTATCTTTTAAAGCTTTGAGATCTCAGTGGAGTTCCTTTAAACTGTAACACCGTACAAATTGCAGGTGAAAGTAAAGGATGAATTTGAAATAAAATATATTAAATTAATGGAAAATCGTAAAAAAGTAAGGAATATTCTAAGAGGAAGCAAAATAAAAAATTACTTTGCTTAATCCATGTTAAACAAACAAGTACAAAAGTAACATACATGTATATAGAGTCTGTAATAAATTCTGTATTTTTCATATGTGGACAATAATCAGATTTTGAATGTGATTATAATGTATTATATATTCGCAGAGTTGTGTGGCGCAGTGATGTGAGAGACTGAGACCGCTTGAATTTATTTTCCCTTTTAAATATATACATACATGTACGTTTTTTGTATTAATTAATCAATTATTTCAACAATGTGGACCTGCGAACAAGCAAAGCCTGAATGTACCCTGTTTTAGCAAAGTGGTTTCAAATGACGCTTTCTTTGGTATTTTTTTCTTGGCATTTTTTGTTACTGCTTTTCCAAACGGAAACATTGTCATTAAGAAGAGATATGGAAAATATTTATGTTTATATTTATCATGATGTGTGCTTGTTTATCTCCTGTGATTAATTTTCTGATAAACAATAATTTATACTTTTGAACGTTTTACGTATAAAAAATATCAAAGTATGAAACAATACCGAAAACTACCTTTGCAGATCGGACAGCACTTATCTGGTAGAATTATAGTACCATATTTACAAGTAGGTACAGCACACAAAACGTGAGCGCACTCTGTAAATAGTATTATCAAAATTGAAGCTGAACTTCTTATTTAAACGCTTTTTACAATTATTCCCAGATAAGTTCTATGCGTAATTAAACTGAATGCTATTATGAAATATTGTGAAAACAAAATAATAAAATATTAAGGAAGTTCAATTATGAAACATGAAAAAATGCATTTATCGACAGTTCTGCGGCAATTTAGCTTAAAAAAATTCAGCTATCAATAGAGTAATTAAAACACTGATTTCTTCAATAAATGGGTTCCGTGGTTCCTTACCACCCTACTCCCTCCCTGTCCCCATACACACGTATTTTGTCACGTATTTCAGCATTGTAGAACTTGAGTGTTCGAATATTACTTTCTTGCTTTTAACTCTTTCGTCTTAAAATACACGCAATTTAGATTAGACAACGTGCAATGAACAGTTACGATGTTTGGGGCGTAATGGTTATGTTACTACTGCCATTCAGCCAACAATCCAGATCGAATATCATGACAACAAGTATATCATTCTGATACACCATTCAGGTTGATATTCAACTTATCATTCTAGTTCTATTTTCGGAGGAATGTCCTTTTACGTAATCATTCAGCATGCTTTTACTTTGCCATTTTAAGTTGAATTGGCTTTATGCAAAATTGCGTACCTTGGCTGCCCTATGAAATGTAAAAGGCCGGCTGCATGAAAGAGTGCCTTTATTGAATAGACAAGTACATACAAAGTGAACTTTCAATAGGGTGGGTAATCTGCATGCATAAAGAATTTTTGCTGGGTAACACATCTTCTGTAGCCAAAGTTTGTCTATTATTTCCATTAAAATAATTTTCATTCGGGTTTTAAGCCCAAGTCATGTGTCATATAATTCTTGTTTATAATTGTTTCTATCTATTTATTATTACATAAGAATATTTGATTGTAACATAACTTACCTGGTGGAGTCAGCGCTGTTGTCAATTCAAAAATTAGACAAGAAAACAAAATTAAGGTGAACATGATGTAACACGAACACCCGCACGAATTATGTATTACTTATTCCTTATAATTGCTGGCAGATTCCATTATTTATACATAGACGCTTGATTAATATGTTTGTGATGAAATGTCAACAGATACAATATGTTGCATTCTTTATGCAGATACGTTTTAGTAAAGGAGATATAAAGGAGGTATTAATGTCTGTACATTAATCAGATTACGTTATTATCTCTTTTTTTCCATAAAAATGTCTAGGTCGAGGATTTTGTATTTAACATTCCATTACTAGCAATAATTTTATCTGATATATGATTGTACATTCTGGTACATGTTCCCTCAGCAGTGAACAACGAAGGTTTTAGAAAACAAACGTCTGTAAATGTATGCTGTTGAAAACCTTACTGGGTGAATCTGGTCATTTATATATATGATACGATTCTTAGTATTTTCTTGATTTTTTAGCTCGACTATTCGATAAGAATAAGTAGAGCTATTGCAGTCACCCGAGCGTCGGCGTCGGCGTCGGCGTAACCACTTATGTTAAAGTTTTTGTAATAGTTCAAATATTTTCAAAGTCCATTGACATATGGCTTTGAAACTTTGCACACTTGTTCACCATCATGAGCCCAACCTGTAGACAGGAGGAGGTAACTCTATCAAGCATTTTGACAGAATTATGCCCCTTTTTCGACTTAGAATTTACGTTAAAGTTTTTGTAATAGTTCAAATATTTTCAAAGTCCATTGACATATGGCTTTGAAACTTTGCACACTTGTTCACCATCATGACCCAACCTGTAGACAGGAGGAGGTAACTCTATCAAGCATTTTGACAGAATTATGCCCCTTTTTCGACTTAGAATTTACGTTAAAGTTTTTTGTAATAGTTCAAATATTTTCAAAGTCCATTGACATATGGCTTTGAAACTTTGCACACTTGTTCACCATCATGAGCCCAACCTGTAGACAGGAGGAGGTAACTCTATCAAGCATTTTGACAGAATTATGCCCCTTTTTCGACTTAGAATTTACGTTAAAGTTTTTGTAATAGTTCAAATATTTTCAAAGTCCATTGACATATGGCTTTGAAACTTTGCACACTTGTTCACCATCATGAGCCCAACCTGTAGACAGGAGGAGGTACCTCTATCAAGCATTTTGACAGAATTATGCCCCTTTTTCGACTTAGAATTTACGTTAAAGTTTTTGTAATAGTTCAAATATTTTCAAAGTCCATTGACATATGGCTTTGAAACTTTGCACACTTGTTCACCATCATGAGCCCAACCTGTAGACAGGAGGAGGTAACTCTATCAAGCATTTTGACAGAATTATGCCCCTTTTTCGACTTAGAATTTACGTTAAAGTTTTTGTAATAGTTCAAATATTTTCAAAGTCCATTGACATATGGCTTTGAAACTTTGCACACTTGTTCACCATCATGAGCCCAACCTGTAGACAGGAGGAGGTAACTCTATCAAGCATTTTGACAGAATTATGCCCCTTTTTCGACTTAGAATTTACGTTAAAGTTTTTGTAATAGTTCAAATATTTTCAAAGTCCATTGACATATGGCTTTGAAACTTTGCACACTTGTTCACCATCATGACCCCAACCTGTAAACAGGAGGAGGTAACTGTATCAAGCATTTTTTTTACTATCAAGCACTAAGAATAGTCGAGCGTTGCTGTCCTACCGACAGCTCTTGTTTTGTAAATAATTATCAAAATGTTCCTTTACCTATCAAATACCCAATCCCTAAATACGTGTATGTTTTACATACAGCCACTAAAAGGGTGTACATCGTTTTCTTTTTAATATTTTAAACATCTGACCTTGTTTTGTTCTCTCAAGTTATAGCTGTTTTCGTTTGTTTATATGACGTTTGACTCCAAAATAAGCAATTGAAGTTTTGCAAGAAAGCCGCCATACAATAACGAATACGTTTCATGAAGTACATACAAAACATACTTTATATTACGACAGGTTTCAACTCTTTGCTGTGATTCATTCCACAAAAATAATATCAATACGTTTTGATGCGAAAAAATTAACCACTCAGGCCTACGGTCTTCGTGGTCAATTCCTAGCATCCAAACTCCAAAACCGGTGTTTAATAGCCGATAAACACCACACCGCAAAGACCGATGTTATTTCTTAATTAAATATAAGAAAACAGATATATTTTTGAATGATTTATTGCCTGTCATGCCAACATACACAAAGCAGATGGTCACAGTGTATGAACATTTGCCTCTCTTTGTACACAGTACAAACATATTCTATCATATTTTCCAACAGTAAACAACATTAACATGTACATAAATATATCAATTGTAAATGAATTGTACAACAATCTCTAGTAAAAATAAACACTTCTTTAACAATATTTTAATATAGTTTAATCTTTACCTGCTGAATTTGTCTAATGGATTTGCTGTTTTAAATTTGGAACAGCTTGTTTAAAGTTAAAGGGATTTCAATTATCAGTATTCAAAAATTGATCTACCAACCGTATAGAGCCAGGTCAGACTGCATAGATATACAAGCTGGTCCGGCTCTATACTGGTGACAAAGGTCCAGAAAGTTGAGGGTCACATGTTTTACTATATATCTATTTGTATAGAAATATATCTATTTATTTGTAAGTATCTTAGTACTAAAACAACCATATACTGATTTTCAAAAATGTGTGCAAAAACATTTAAGGTGGAAGACAATTAACCAAATTATCTTTTCAGCACTTATTTACCATTACAAGAAAATATACAGACATGTATATATAGATTATGGAAAATATGATATTATCTTCATCAAACAAATGTTAAAAACAAGCTTCATAAAAATTTTAGAGACTTTCATGATTAGTATATGTATAAAAGTAACAAAACTTTATTTGTGTTTTAGAAATTATTAACATTTTTATAGAGTAATTTATATCATGCATTTAATTTAACAAAGTTATAAATTAACATCCTAAATTCTCTAATTAATACACACCTTGCAAAATTTCCTTAAAAATTTTTGGGAGTGAGTTAATTTGGTAGAAAAAGAGATGTTATTTCATTATCAAATCAGTACTTAAAAAGTGATACTGGGTAACACATATTGATTATTCGTATCTTAAAAGAGTTCCAATTGTTAAATTACTTTTTCAGTTCAGACAAAATTTATATGTTTATTAAAGACCATTATATCTTAATTATTATATCCATTATCTACCAATTATGGTACCACTATAAGACTGTTACAACAAAATGTTTTAATTTCATTTAAATCTTCCAAGTGATAAGATAAACTAAATACTAAAATCACATTTTCAAGTTAAGTGATACAATCATTATTGTAAAAATTAAACATTCAAATATGTTACTTCGTGTTGTTTTATCATTATTTGATTTTTTGTATAAATTAAAAATACAATTGCATTTGAAATACAAATGATTTTGCCAAAAATTGGTAACAGAAAAGTAAACATTCCAGACAAATAAATATATCATCTAAGCTTACTGCAACAAAACTGATTATGAAGAAAAACAAAACAAAAAAAACAAACCCTCCTGCATTATAAGTTTATAAAGTTGGAATTACAATGTGTTTTTTCAAATACCACATTGATCTACACATTATCTCCATGAATTAAACATTTAACCAAAACCTCATGATATTTATCTGTATAGCAGTCACAGAAACTGTAAAGACACACAGATGAACAGACAGAAGTCATTGATATAACCATATTACCTTTCTGAGACAGAGGATTAACAAAATATTTGAGCCGTGTCACGACAAAACCAACATAGTGGGTTTGCGACCAGCATGGATCCAGACCAGCCTGTGCATCCGCGCAGTCTGATCAGGATCCATGCTGTTCGCTATCAGTTTCTCTACATGTAATAGAGTTGGTAAGGGAACAGCATGGATCCTGATCAGACTGCGCGGATGCGCAGGCTGGTCTGGATCCATGCTGGTCGCAAACCCACTATGTTGGTTTTGTCGTGACGCAGCTCATTTGTGAAACCAACAAGCTCCAAGCTGGATTGTTTATTAGGACTTGTCTGACACAATATGGTAATAATGATAATGAATAAGGCTTTATACTTTAATGCCTTTTGGAATCTGAGGTTTCAAAAACCATATCATACACATTTTTACTGCGGACTGGGTGCACTGTGTTATTTAAACAAGAAAATCAAGATATTTATCAATCTGTACTCAATATGTTCACTTCATGGTAGACAGACAAAGCAGCAATTATATACCCATTCCTTTACATGAGAGGGGCATAAAAAATCATAATGTAATGAAAGAGCAAAATATACAAATAATATAGATTCACAACACAAAAAATGGACCTGAATTATCTTATGAAAAGCAGTACTATTTTACAAAACTTTCTATGGATTTCTCGGTTATATTTATTTCATTGTAATATCAGAATGTCTTAACATCTGATATTAAAATGTAAAAATACATTTCTGAGGTAATTAATTATTTGAACAACAGTTTATATAGTTTAAAGTATTTACCTTTCATTGTACAAATAGTGATATTTTCAGCACTGTAATAAGTCAAATTAAAGGGAAAAAGAAGAAAATAAATTTGTGTGGCAACCGTTTGTAGTAATGTTAACAATATTTAAGTCATTGCATATACCACTAACATAATTTTATTATTTCAAAATAAATAATTCTACAATTCATACAATGTGTATACTGCATGTATAGATGGACATATCTAGGCATATAAATTAAGATATTTATATATTTATCATCACTTATTCCATACTGCCTTATGTTTGCCTTTTATTTCATCTTTAAACCTGTATATCTACAGCTACACTAAAACAACATTTATATGAAATATTACACAATTCAAAAGATGTTCTTGCCAATGATATTTTTTGTACATGTAACTTAAAACGTTACTAGTATATTTGTTTTAAAATGTTATACATTCACATAGCAAACAAGCATTTTATGTGTCATGAACATTCTTAATTAAACTCTAACAAAGCCAATGTACATTAACAATATTTATAATGATTTAAATTAATTTCATCATCAGATCTGTCAGCCAAAAATGGTATACAGCAATCTCTGGTCATTAGCTAGGGCCCATGGTGCTCATGAATAAATTACTTCACATGAATAATTACTCACATGAAAAATTGCTTATATGAATAACTGCTAACACATATCATCACTCATGAATAATCACCCAAATCAATATTTACCCACATGAATAATTGCTCATATGAATAATTGCTCATATGAATAACTGTTCATATGAATAAATGCTCACACAAATGAATAAATGCTCACAAAAATAATCACTCATGAATAAATATTCGAATGAATAATTGCTCATATGAATAATAGCTCCTCACACAAATAATCACCCATTAATAATTATCCAAATGAATAATAACCAATATGCATAATCACTCATGAATTATTTCTTATATCAATTATCACTCATATGAATAATTGCCCAAATGAATTATCGCTGAGAGAAAAAAACATGCTCATATGAATAATTGCTCACATGAAATACATTATCATTCATAAAAATAATTGCTCATGTGAATAATTGCTCGTATGAAATATCATTCATAAAATAATTGCTCATATGAATAAATGCTTACATGAAAAATCACTTTTCTGAAAATTTGCTCAAATAAATAATTGCTAAAATTAACAATCAAACACATAAATTATTGCTCACATGAATAAATGATTGCATGTACATTTACCTATCAAAGACATGACTTGATTTTACTGTCACTATACCCATACTAATCTTGTTAAAGTTCATATTAACTACAACATACTCTCATCTGCTCAAAACAAAATAAGGCAGTGAAATAATTAACAACAAAAAGCTTAAACAGGCAAAAAAAAAACAAAAACAAACACAAACAAAAAATAAAATAAGCAAAAACAAAAAATACACTTCCAGAAAAACATGTATTTGTCACACCACTATAATGATTATGACCTTGGATATAAGAAAATGAAAAAGTGTCCACTACCTTTCTATTTAATAATTAAAACGCATTTTATCATAATAATTTGGAAATAGACAAGATAAATCCTAGGGAACAGAATGACATATATGATGGTATTCGTTGTTCAAGTTCTCCTGGTTTCTCTACCAGTACTGACTTGTTCTTTCTGCAAATAATTGTCAGCTGCTCTACATAAATAATTTCACTATGCAAATCTTATTAGACATATTATTGTTAACCAAATTGTCACAGCATGTCACATGATGTAGCTTGTCCAAGGCTTAAAGTCTCCTTTCTAGACTTATAGGGAGAACAAATGCAGAGATACATTTATGTTATAATGCAAGCATTGAATATTCTTTCTTTTATTTTACACTAGTATGTATTGTATTAGATATGACACTATCCAATTGTCAATTTCAACAATATCATAACTAGATAATTCTGAAATTCTACTTCTAAACTGAAATCTCTGAGTGCATTGTTACTATAAATGCAAAACTAATACTATAAACTGGTATTTGTAAGTTATCCTATGAACAAAAAGGTAGTATGTACATTGTATGTACAAAAAATATATATAAATACCCTGTATGGAAGTGCTAGTCTGTAAGTCTTAAAGTATAAAATACTAAAACATAAGTACATAATAAATGGTCTCTCCTTTTGTTACTTAAATTAAATTTTGTTATTCAAAGTACAAAATAAATGTGAATACAAAACTCTGAATAATACAAGAGGTCCTTAAGGGCCATGGATTGTTAACCTGAGAAACTGGGCAAGAACATCATTTATTTCACCTGAAGTTGTACTATTAGTTTACAACTTTATTCTCTCAATGTTTAACTCGGCTGACCAAATCTTGTACACAACCACAAAAAGGGGGTGATATTCATTTTTCTTCGAAGGCTACTGTTTCAAGCAACTACATAAAGATTGTAGCTATTTAAGTATGATGATAATACCAGTCATATTTTTGTGGTTAAGATAGAAATATCTCTCCTATTGGAACTTGCCCAGTAACATCATTACCACCCATCATCTAGCATGCTCCACCATGACTTCATTCAAGTTGTAAATTCATACGCTTTCATATGAAAATAGTTAACAGATGAAATGAGTTATCACGGGTAACCATCCAGTAGCAAGCCTCATAACCATCTATGGACAGGTCCACATTGGTACCTCATTTTATCTGCAATTATTTTCTAATAACAGCATATAAATTTACAACTTGAATGAAGTGCCGAATGTCAGATTAAATTACCAGTGTGTGTAAAACTATCAGTAAAGAAAGTCTGACATGCGAGAAAATGATAATCCAGAAATCCCGCAATAATTAATGATGGTATGACCATTAACGGACGAAGACTGACCACAATACATAAAATGGGCCAAAGAAAAATAAGTTAAGTTTACAAAACAGATGTTATTAACATAAATAATTTCTAAAATCTGATAATAAATATTTATATATAAAAATTTCTCTTTGATTTTAGTAATTTGATAACTGTGATACCGGTGGGTAAGTTATATATGAAATAAATACTGATACAAAACAATAACATAGAATATCTTTTCACTTAAACTGAACAGATATAAATGCATTACAAAAATTATAAAATCTATATACAAAATGTGTAAATATAAAAGTTCCTTTATATTTTCAAAAGTTAGCCTTAAAAGGTTTTAACAAAAAATATTAACTTACTTACAAATTACAATGTATACACATATTCAACAAAAAAAACACAAAAAAACTGTAAACAATATTTTCAATATTGAAATATAATTATATATGTCAATAGATAAAGTTTGGAAAGGATCTATTTTCATACATCTATGATCTTTGGTTCAAGAACTGTAAATGTTATTTCTTAAACAGTGTATCATCAGAGATTCATTTTTCTTTAACTCCTCACTAAAGTCAAACAAAAAGTATATCTATACATATAACAGGAACGTATCACACCGGGTGATGGAAAAACAGCACTTATATAAATAACTGTATCTAACAGTTTACATAAATCTACATGTACAGATAAAGTGCCAATTAAGAGCTCATATTAGTGAAACAAAGAAGTGCATAAATTCTTCCTTCAAAATATATGTACATTTTTTTATCTTTTGAGAGTCTAAAAATGAAGCTTTTTCACATTTAATGAACATTTAGAACATATTCTAAAATTTTTCAAGACTCTCATGTTAGATGTCTACACATATTTTACAAAATATTTTTTTTTTCTTCAAACACAAAAGTTCTGATAAAATTCCCCTATAGATATAATTATGTAACTAAATCCAATACTTTATATCTGTGTGGTAAATATTCAAACATATATAAATTTTTTAATCACTGATTATATTTTATGATAATAACACTTATCATAACACATGTATATCACACTTAAGTATATCATCATGTTATGGCACACATTGAACTATTCACATATCAATAGCTTGTATAAACTTGCTCGTCACATCACTTTACTTTGTCATTTCACTTAAATACATCACATCACTTTACGTATATATTAGAATGGAAAGTGTTGAGCCAACACGGTCTCTATTGATGCTACTTTCATCTTGTAATAATTCTGATGGTGGTGAAGTACTGGTGTGTACAGTTTTAAATAGCAAACTAATCCTATAACTATTCTATAACAAGCTTTCCAGTAGACAGTAAAATAACATTTAATAATTTCACTGTGAAGATGGTAACAGAATCACATAAATATTTGAAATTTTACAGAATTGATATTCAACATAAACACTGAGACATCATGAGCTGATGACATCATGATTATGACCTCATCATGTAAAACAGCTAAAAATACAGTCAAAATGACTTAAAACCACAAAAAAAACATGGGATAAATAGAAAACTTGTTTGTTGTGCATGTAATATCAAACCATATTTCACTCATTGACACCAGCTGGAATATATTCATGCCACTCATAAAAATATTGCATCATGTGATCACTCTGTGAAATATATTTTGATCTTACATTAAAAGAGTGTAATCTTTCTATCATTTTATAATAAACATAGGACTACTTTTATAGCCAATCACTTTGAAAATAATGCTTGTCAATCACATTAATATTATAACATTATCACAAAATGAACATGGATTAAATCTTGAACATTTAAAACTTCTCTAAAGTAAGTTTATATGGGGAAACGCCCAAATCATGATGTGTCGAGAGAAAAGACGACCAGCAGAAGCATTCATCTTTCACCTTTACCTTGAAGTATATACAAGTGATTGATATTTTCAATAACAGTTTCCCTTTCTTAGCATTAACTTATTTACATATGAGGGAAAAAATTTAATGAACACGTAACATTACTTCATTCATTTTGGCGAGTATAGCACAAGCATGGTTTAACATATAATTCTCATCATTTTATCTCCAGAACACAAATCCTTTGTTTGAACATTGTATCTTATCAGGCAAGTATTATTTTCTACACATATATCTGAATTTTACACTATGCAATTCTTTTGAAAAACTCAAATACAAAAATTACCCAACATTTCTGTTCCTTAATATTTGTCTTGGTTTGTTATAACAAAGGAAACTACTATGTAAAATGGACCAGCTTTGTGTCCTGTGTAAAGGAGAAACCTAGTTTATCACTACACAATCTAAAATAAGTTAAATACTATGTCTGTTGTACATTTGAACTCACTCTTTTTTCAAAAGATCCTTTAAATTCCATAGCTTGCATCCAAATGGAAGTATAGCACATAAAATATACTAGAATTAATGTCACAAAAACCAATAATATTGTTTTATTTTTACACATTCTAACCTGTGCCATTTTTTTCTTTGTAACGGTCAAGGTCGCTGCTATGGCAACAAGAATTAATAGAAGTATGACTACTGTTAACTGGCCGCCTGCTTGTAACACAGCCTGAAATAATAAAATACATACAATACAGTTGTAATTTCAATATACATCATTTCTACCATATAAAATAATGCAAGTTTAATATAAAATATATACAAATTGCATTGACAGGTCATAAAAAAAATCACAAAAACATGTTGTTCAAATCTTCTTCTAAATGATTTTGTTTGCCACAGATATTTTCTTGAGATCAAAATTTCAAGAATTTGTTTTTCAATTAGATTACTAGGTAAACTAGTTATGGAATTCAACTTCAAACTACATTCCACTTGTCCTTTTCAACAATTACTGTTGGTTCGATTTTAAGTCTAATATTCAAAAGATACAATAAGTTGCTCAAAGCCTTGTAGCACAATTCAATTGAATGTACAGTAGAACTTTGGTAAGTCGAGATATCAGTCTAAATTTAATGACATTATTTCAAGCCATTGACGTTTTCAAGTGATTTACAGAAGGCAAAACAAAAGCAAAAAGCTTATAGGAAAAATATCCCATGTGATTATCATGTGACACCCAGCCTCAGAAAGTAATAGTTTTTATAAAGATTAAATAGTGGAAAAATCTGGACTTTCTCTACATCAAATCGGGAGAAACAACTAACAAAAGTTTGACACACAGAAGTTCTACTGTACTAGGTTACACAAGACCTGGCAACAAAATTCATCAATCAAACTACAACAAAATAACAGCCTTTAAAAATAAAAATTCTCATGGTACTGAATAGCGGTTTTTAAGACAATGAAAGTTAAAAAAAAATGTATTAAAAAGCTAATCAAGTAATTATATTAAAGAAAATGTACCACAAATATAATGACACCAAGTGTTTATATGTCACAAACCATAGCATACATGCCATTCTTTACCAATTTAGGAAAATATTACAGATTATTATGTAAGAGGCACAAGAAATTTCATGAAGACACAGTCACTAATATCACACCATATATTGTAATACATACAGCACAAAGTACATTAAAATCTGTCTCAATTTTGTTGGAGGGTATCGGTTAAGAACCATGTTTGTAATTACTGGTTCTTTAAAAAATATTTGTTTATAAATGCACCATCCAAATCCAAAACTTATTTTATTAGCAGCTGATAAAATCTGATTAAATATAATTTTGTCTCAATGTCATCATAATTATAATAGAATTATAGTCTTATGTTGAGGCGTATATACTTTTATTGGACTTGAAAAAAGTTATATGACTTTTATCAGATCCAAAAAACTATATATTGACTGAAACTTAAGTCTAAAATTTCTATATTGTATAATGATTACAAGTGTATGTATTTATTTCTTTAAGATTCAATTTACCACTATGTTTCTTCATAAAGCAGTGATATTAACAAGAGCTGTCGGAAGGACAGCACGCTCGACTATTCTAAGTGCTTGATAGTAAAAGAGCCTTAATAATGTTAAATATTCTAAGTTCACAAAAGGGCTAATTTTTTTTTTATAAAATATGAAATTGTCCCAAAAAAGGCACAAACCCTTCAGTAGTTATGGAGATAACAGCTTAGAAGCAAAACTTTACCATGAATTTTTTAAGTTGAAAAAGGGAAGAAAAATCAGCCTAAATGCAAGATAGAATTATGGACCTTTGTCAGTGACCTACAATTCTGACCCTAAATGCATATGTGAAGTTTTAAATAAATATCTTTAATAGTTATTGAGATATGTAAAACTTGCATTTAAACATTAACCAAGAGACTAAGTAGAAAAGGGGATATGAATCAGCCTTAATGCAAGATAGAGTTATGGAACTTGGTCAGTGACATACAATTATGACCCTCAAATTATGACCCTAAGTACATGTGTAAAGTTTCAAGTAAATATCTTTGAAGACCTTTAACCAAAATCTCTAAGTTTCAAAGGGGCAAATAATTCTGCAAATATTGCAGACAGAGTTATGCAATTTTGCAAAATGATGTACATTGTTACTATAAAAAAGTATTGTAAATTTCAATTGAATATCTCAAGCAATAATTGAGATATTTGACTTTACAAAAAAACTTTAACCAAAATTTCTAAGTTTCAAAGGGGCATAATTCTGTCAATATTGTAGGCAGAGTTATCCAACTTGTCAACGTGATGTACCTTGTTACTATAAATAAGTATTGTAAGTTTCAATTGAATATCTCAAGCAATAATTGAGATATTTGAATTTACAAAAACTTTAACCAAAATTTCTAAGTTAAAAAGGGGCATAATTCTGTCAATATTGTAGGCAGAATTATCCTACTTGTCAATCTGATGTACCTTATTACTATAAATAAGTATTGTTAGTTTCAATTGAATATCTCAAACAATAATTGAGATATTTGTCTTTACAAAAAACTTTAACCAAAATTTCTAAGTTAAAAAGGGGCATAATTCTGTCAATATTGTAGGTAGAGTTATCCAACTTGTCAATCTGATGTACTTTGTTACTATAAATAAGTATTGTAAGTTTCAATTGAATATCTCAAACAATAATTGAGATATTTGACTTTACAAAAAACTTTAACCAACGCAGACGCCGACGCGAACGCTGACGCGACTTCAATAGCTCTCATATTCTTCGAATAGTCGAGCTAAAAATCTATACTTTATAGACAGCATCTGTAAAATATGTGTGCGCTGTTAAATGCACCGAGTCTACTTGTAATATCAATGCTTATCAGTCAATCAGAGCAGCCCTTTTATTAATGGTATGCTAAAGACATTAAAGCTGCATGCCCCCAGATTCTGTTATCATATTCTAACAACATGCCAAGTTTAAAGAAATTGAACAGTTTTAATTTTGCTTATATGTCTATATGAAAACTCCCAAAAACGTCTTTAAAAAAAAAAAGTTAACAATTTTAATACCCAGGCACCTTAAAAAACATGTTTATGATGTTGTTTTTTAAATTGAGAGTGGGGTTAGGAGAAAAATCCCACATAAGAGAAACTATGTCAATAAACCATGAAAGCATGTCATTGGTACTTTGTGCTGATGTAAACTAAAATTCTTATAAATAAATAGAAAAATTGTGTGTAAAAATGAAATAAACAATGTTAGAATCTTTTCAAGCATACACATTAGCATATTTCTGAATAAATATAGAGGCTAGGAAGCATATATTTCACATGCAAATTAGTCATGCAGTTTGTAATGCTAAAATACCTAAACTGTATTAAAATACATTTTCTTAATGTAACTAATTATTTACTTGTTAAATGAATAACTTATTAATTTACAGCAGGTCACATTCCAAGAAAATAGTGAAGTTACAACACTCAAGCATTATATAAAACAACAGTGTTAACATGTTTTTAAAATTAAATGTACAAAAGAAATCAGAAATAAGCAGTGTTAATAATGTGTAAAAATGAACCCAAAGGTGACTAATGTGTAAAAAAGAACCCAAAGGTGACTAAGGATAAATAAATTTGGTTAGAACAGCACATGTTAGTATTGTATTACCGCTACACAATACCTGAGAACAGTCGGAAATTCTCCCTCCCTTTTGCTCAAACTCCACCTTAATATTTTCTACCTCAAAACGACTCTTCTCATTGTATCCTGAACACTGTGCCTGCGTACAGTTACTGGATGTTTCATTCACACTCTGTCTTCTCTTTCCCCTCCGTAAACAGTAATCTGGACCACTTATCTGACCAACACCCAAACCTCGACTAAAATATAGAAATATGATTTTTTATGACAAATTATTGGATTTTGTAATAATTTTGTTACATATAGGTGAATAATATTTACACCATTATATAGGCATAATTTATTATATGCTACAAACAAGAAACAAAACAAAAAGGATGAGAAAATTTATCAGAAACCCTGTATCAAGAAGGCATGCACAACTTCATACATGTCTTGCTATTTTTGTCAGGACTGCTTTGAAAGATCAATTAAGACAATTGCAATGAAAGAGAAAAAGGCTAAAGAATCTGCAATCAAACATTTATACAACCTCCTCATCAACATATCTAAATGTACATGATAGACTATCAGAGGGAGAGGGATTCTGGAAATAAAGAGATAGGTCTGAAGAATACAAAGGTATACATTTCTACTCCTTTGTTCTTAAAATGACAAAATTCTTGAGTTGCAAAAAATTAAAATGAAATTAATATTTTCGGCATAATTATGTCTTTTTCAAAGATCACCACTCATTTCACAGTCATAAAAAACAAATAATTTTCAACTTGTCGGTATATCTTAAACAATCGTTTCTGAAGAACTGAACTCAATTTAGGCCATAAATTAACATAATACATGTATATATATATATAACTCCGTCCACAGAGAATGCTGGTTATTTCGATATTTTCTTGAATGACCATAAAAGCAAGGGTTTAACCAAACAAGTATATATCAAAAAAAGGGTTTAACCAAACAAGTACTATAAAATTTGGTAGATTTAATCAGTTTGGTGAACACAATTTGGTGAAAACAAGAATATATGTCACATCAGTGATGCTGAATTCATTAAGCAAATGTCTATGCATAGTACCAAATGAGAGAAAGTAAGCAAATGAAAGTGTTGATATCAGCTTAATTGATCAATCATCATGAAGACCAATTCTTTCCATTATTAAAACTCAAAATAACAAGAGCCACCGCCGGGCGGGGGCAACGCTCGACTTTTTACTTTTTCTAAACGCAAACATAGAAAGGTTTGAACATATATTGATGTTTCCTTTTTATAAATTTAGTTGGTCTGTCTTGTCACATTAGTTTTGTTTATATATTTTGTATATATATGAATAGAAACATTAAGCATATTTCTAAAAATAGCAACAGTACGCAATTTCTAAAAATAGCAACAATGACGCAATTTCTAAAAATAGAAAAAATGACGCAATTTCTAAAAATAGAAAAAAATGACGCAATTTCTAAAAATAGAAAAAAATGACGCAATTACTAAAAATAGCAACAATGACGCAATTTCTAACAAAAATGACGCAATTTCTAAAAATAGAAAAAAAATGACGCAATTTCTAAAAATAGCAACAATGACGCAATTTCTAAAAATAGAAAAAAATGACGCAAATTCTAAAAATAGCAACAATGACGCAATTTCTAAAAATAGAAAAAAATGACGCAATTTCTAAAAATAGAAAAACATGACGCAATTTCTAAAAATAGAAAAAAAATGAAGCAATTTCTAAAAATAGAAAAAATGACGCAATTTCTAAAAATAGAAAAAAATGACGCAATTTCTAAAAATAGAAAAAATGACGCAATTTCTAAAAATAGAAAAAAATGACGCAATTTCTAAAAATAGAAACAATGACGCAATTTCTAAAAATAGAACAAAAATGACGCAATTTCTAAAAATAGAAAAAAATGACGCAATTTCTAAAAATAGCAACAATGACGCAATTTCTAAAAATAGAAAAAAATGACGCAAATTCTAAAAATAGCAACAATGACGCAATTTCTAAAAATAGAAAAAAATGACGCAAATTCTAAAAATAGCAACAATGACGCAATTTCTAAAAATAGAAAAAATGACGCAATTTCTAAAAATAGAAAAACATGACGCAATTATATACATGTATATATATGTATATATATATATATATATATATTTGATATATATATATATATTTGATATATATATATTTATATCTATATATATATGCATATATATATATTTATATATATATATATACCTGCATATATGTATATATATACACACACACATTTATATATATATATATATAATACATATACTATACATACACACACACCAATAAATGCACACTCTGAGAAAATTCAGTAATATAACCTTCAAGGTCAAGGTCATTAAAGAGCCCAAGCAAATTTGGGTTTGATAAAAAACAAGGTCTGGTCCTTAAGAATGTTCTGTTATAATATGAAGTTTATCCCTTCAAAAATAGCAAAGTTACAGTCAGTTACTGCCAAAACAATGAAAATTTCAATAATTTGACCTCCAAAGGCAATGTCATTAATGAGTGAAGGTCAAGGTCTTTCGGTATATTTTTAACAGTTATCTTTGAAGATTATTATGTTCAAGTTTGAAGACAATCCATCCAAAAATAACAAAGTTACAGCCAATAATAGCCAAAAAAATGAAAATTTCAATAATTTGACCTTCAAAGTCAAGGTCATTGATGAGTGAATGTCAAGGTCTGTCTGGTTATTTTTAAGGGATATCCTTGAAGATTATTATGTTCAAGTTTGAAGACAATCCATTCAAAAATAACAAAGTAACAGCCAATAACAGCATGAACAAGCAAAAATTGGACTTTTAACCTTGAAGGTCAAGGTCATTTATGGATGAAGGTCAAGGTTAGTGTGGTCTACTGAAAGGTCTTGTCCCAAGGGTTGTTGTGGCCAAGTATGAAGACAATACACCAAGAAATAAAAAAGTTATGATCCAGGTACAAGTTTTCGGACGGCAACGGCAACGGCAACGGAGACGGCAACGGCAACGGCAACGCCGACCTGACTATAACAATACCTCTACTTTTTTTTTCAAAAAAAAAAAAGTCGAGCTAAAAAAAGATTGTTTGTTTAACAAGTGTCATAAAACAAACTTTGCACTTCTTGACCATGGTTTCACTAAATATTTGACAGAAACAACCCTTTGTTCTAAAGACAACTTTATTTCTACTGAATGAGAAATACAGCAAAACTTTTCAAACCTGCAGTTCTACTATTTTAGAAAAACAGCAGTCTCATGACTGACCAACCAAATCATAAACTATAACTTTCAATCATTTAACTGGAGAAATAATGAACTTTTAACAAAACAGCGAAGTAAAGACTTTAACAGAGGCCTAACTAACCTGAGCATTCTACACCTATGCTCCTGAAGTCTTGCAGCTGCAGCATCTAAATCCCTCACTTCCTTACTGCTCCATAACCTCTCAGCTACAGCAGATGCTCTAGGCCTGGAAATATAGTTTATGGAAAATCATCTTATCATATTTACGTATCACTCATCAAAATATGTCGAAAATCTTAAAAACACTGAAAAGGGTTCTGTTCTGTCTTTAAAATATTATTGTACATTATGTGACATTATGTGGCATTTACTTGTACATGCATGTCATGTAACATTTGCTTTTACATTATGTTAGATTTGTTTGTACATTATGTAAAATTTGTTTGAACATTATTCATTATTGTTTAACATTTACTTGTACATTATGTAACATGAACTTGTACAGTAATTAACAACTTATTGTACATTATGTAACATGAACTTGCACATTGTGTAAAATAAACTGGTACATTATGTAACATGAACTTGCACATTGTGTAAAATATACTGGTACATTATGTAACAACTTCTTGTACATTATGTAACAACTTCTTGTACATTATGTAACATGAACTTGTACATTATGTAACAACTTCTTGTACATTATGTAACATATACTTGCACATTATGTAAAATATACTGGTACATTATGTAACATCTACTTTTTACATTATGTAACATTTAAAGATCCTGTAGCACACATTTTTTATGGTTTCATATCATAAATATGATGCTCAAATTAAGATTTATCAATTTTGTAAGTTCCAAAAAGCATTATTTATAGAAAATATTACCGAATTTAACATTTCATGTAAATAAAAGGAGGTAATAAAAAAATTATTTTCTATAAAGTGTAAGTCAACTTTTCAATAAGAAATGAATGCATATATTTTAATTATTGCATAATTTATAATATGTACAAATTTTTGCAGTACATAATTTACATATTCTTCGATGTTTCAAAATTGTTTTATATGCATAATTATATACATATTTATAATTTCACTTAAGTGTGGTATACAACCTCAATTTCAACATACAGGATCTTTATTATGCACTATGTAGCATCACATACATGTACTTACCACAGCGTAGTCATGAGATTTTCATTGTCAATATATTCCGCCCACAGACACGCCTCTCCACCAAGAACCTTACTCTCATCAATGTTAAATCCTGAAATAAAAATATATAAAAAACTTTTACTTCTGCTAAAACCATACAATCAAAATACAGGTTGGACATTATATCAATGTTGAAAAGTACACAATCAAGAATAATGTCAAGTTTTCAAAATGCAGATCTAAATGTTTAATATAAAATATTGAAAACTGCTTAAATGCTATATGGAATATTGAAAAGTTGATATATTTTGATAATGGTAGAATTTTCCAAAAATTGTGATTAAAAAAATAATTGAAGAAATCAGATGGATAGATATAAAAAATTTAAAGCCCTTTAGAAAATTATACTGTGAAATAACCTTCCTCCCTCTCCAAGACTTCTGTTTAATGAGTGTACTTTTTTCTCTGGGTCAAAATGGTTTCAATGGCACATTAGTGAAGTTCTTAATATTGACAGTTTGAAGACAGTATAATTACAAAGTTATGTTTAAGTGGGGAAAAATATTTTATGACTTGCTGCATAGACAAAGATAAAAAATTCTTTAGAAATAATAATACATCATTTCACAGTGCTGCACAAGCTGTATATAATTACCAATCTTCGGAATTTACGACTTTCTCAAATTGTCATGTGCAGACAGGTTAGGATATATTTCATAAAGCTATTATAAAACATTTTGAACAATTACGGCTTTTAATGATGTACTATATGTCTAGAAAACTTGATGCCTATATGTACTGTATGATGACAATATCATGATTAAATGTTTGTTACAATATCAATATCAACACCGTCATCCTTACACATGCATGCACAACAATGCTTTACCCTTTACCTGCTCAAGTTCTTAAAGGGACTGGTCCAACTTCCAGTTTTAAAGTAACAATGTAGTAACTCAACAGTATAGAGTCTAGTCAGATTGCAGGCCTAGCTTTATGCTAAACACTTTAAGATCCACTTAACAATAAATGTACTTATAATGTTGCTTATCACTGAAAGTTGACATTTATAGGTTGCTAAGCATTTCATGCTTAAACTGACATTTTCATATTTCAGAGATGTAAATAGTAAAATACTACATGTACAGTCATTAAAATGCATAAGGGCTATTATAGTCTTTCAGTACCTAATATGGAATACAAGAAGGATATGAGAGCCTTCTTTTGAAATACAAAAAGGCTATGAGGACCTTCTATTGAAATACATGACAGTTACGAGGACCTTCTTTTGAACTACAAGAGGGCTATGAGGACCTTCTTTTGAAATACAAGAATGCTATGAGGACCTTCTATTGAAATACAAGACGGTTACATGAGCCTTCTTTTGAAATACAAGACGGTTACATGAGCCTTCTATTGAAATACAAGAAAGCTATGAGGGCCTTCTTTTGAAATACAGGAAGGCTACAAGGACCTTCTTTTGAAATACAAGACGGTTACATGAGCCTTCTTTTGAAATACAAGAAAGCTACGAGGGCCTTCTTTTGAAATACAGGAAGGCTACAAGGACCTTCTTTTGAAATACAAGAAGGCTATGAGGGCCTTCTTTTGAAATACAAGAAAGCTATGAGGGCCTTCTTTTGAAATACAAGAGGGCTATGAGGGCCTTCTTTTGAACTACAAGAGGGCTATGAGGACCTTCTTTTGAACTACAAGAGGGCTATGAGGACCTTCTTTTGAAATACAAGAGGGCTATGAGGACCTTCTTTTGAAATACAAGAATGCTATGAGGGCCTTCTTTTGAAATACAAGAAGGCTATGAGGGCCTTCTTTTGAAATACAAGAAGGCTATGAGGGGCTTCTTTTGAAATACAAGAAGGCTACGAGGGGCTTCTTTTGAAAAACAAGAAGGCTACAAGGGGCTTCTTTTAAAAAAAAGGGGCTTTTTGGACTTTTATTGCTCTTTTATGAAATACAAGAAAACAATGATTGCCTTTAATTGAAAAACAAGAAGGCTATGAGGCTTTTAATTGAAAAACAAGGTCATATGGCCTTGAATTGAAATACAAGAAGTCTTGAATTAAAATACATGAAGGTTATTATGGACATTTATTGAAAAAACAAAATTACTAGATTTTATTGTTCAGTATGGAATACAAGAAGGGTATTGTTGCTATATATTGCTTTATATACTAAACTTACAATACATGCCAGACTTTTTTCATTTATCTAGAAAAAAATTTTTTATATTAAAATGTATTTAATATCTTTTTTTATTTATTTTATTATCTATTAAATTGCTTTTGCTGTCATCTTATTTCACCATAGAAAAGGAATTTCTTTATTTTTTCGCAAAGTAAATAATCCTCCTGTTAAACAATTTTGAATCCTGGCAACCAGTTTTTCACAATTTTTCATTTTGCTATAAAAAACCACCTGTCTATAACAGTAGATAAATTTCTTGATATTTAATAAATGTAAAGATACATATTTCATAAATCAGCTATGTATTATCCAGAACTTACAATCTAAAGTTCATAATAATTTATAACATTATACAAAGCATACACAAGCATTTTGCATATCCTGTAACAGTGCATTCTCCACAATACCCCCATCATTAAACATAATTAGTGCAAATACACCAACCCAACCTTTATCTTCTATGTCAAATACAAAGTGCTGCCATCATTTCATCAAGGATATAATATACTGTAAAAGTGGACTTCTAGAAATTTTTAGTGTCTCTGTACCAACATTTTATGTATAATTGCTACTATACCCAGATGAAGTTTAACAAACTGTAAGTTTTTGTCTTTTAAGACTATATTTCAAAAATTTCATTGGAATCGTGACAGTGGTAAAAGTCCTTTGTACTCCCTCCTCCCACACTTAACATATTATATATACATACAGAGCTGTAGGCCTTCATATTTACTTAAAAATATCATTTCTAAAAAATAGTTTTTGCTGTAAAATCAGTGTATATCAGAATTGTTCAATGGATCTTATAGAAAAAAATCCTGTTTATGAATTTCTTCAGGTGTACCTATGTATAGATCTACATTGATTCAAGATAATAAAGTATAAGAAGTTTTTGAAATATAAATTTAATCAAGTAGACATAAAATCTGGGAAAATATTTTGATTACTGTACAATTTTATTACATCAAATATATCACAATAAAACATTATTGATGGTCTTGTGTGGATTGAGAAACATATATCCACTTTTACAGTATTAAATTCTTACGTTGAGGTGGTAAAACTTTTCCCTCACTATCAACCTCTACAGCTGCTCTACGAACTATGAAAATCAGATACATTCTTTAAAACACGTAAACTCTCCAAACCTTTATCAGCAAACTATGTGTAAGAGCACGGATGTCATACCAATGCTCATCTAAGTAATGTCTATGGTCCTACAGATGTGCCTTCTCTGTTCTCATTAACAAGTACATATATGCCAAGAAAAAAGGACAATTTCTTTGGGCTGCATCAAAGGTTTTGCACAAAAATAACAACAACAAACTAGCGATCATAATAGCTTGGCTTCTTCTTTGAACAGACAAGCTAATAATACACAAAATTTCACAAATGTTTGTTTTTTATCAGTTTTACATTGATATTTTATATTGTATCTTGGTGGTTGGTCCTTCTAACAGGCTCTCTTGGATAACTAACCAGTAATTACAAATTTCTCCCAAAATGACAAACTACCAACTCTGAATCATCACTGAAAAACAAATGACCATCACATTCAATGTTCCCGACCAAATGTCACAGAAAATTTCTGTCTTACCTGAACAAATCTGATGCTCTCCCTTTAAATTAAGAGGGGCAGACTAATTTCATTCATGTACCTATACTATTATTGTTCTATAATTTCATTTTAAAAAGAACAACATAATAAAAACAGTAATTGTAGATAGCTTATCGGTATTCTTCATAACTCTTTATGAAACTTTACAGATTAATATTATTTAAGGCATCAGTTACAACAATGTAAAATGTCGTTGGATAAATTCTCTACAACAGACAAAGAGAAGTCTAGAACTGAATCAAGTTCAAATCAAACCAAAATATCAAAGTCTATGCAAAGTAGTGGTATCTTCTTATTTATCTATACTTAGATATTGAGTGAAGGTGATTAAATTCTTATTTCAAATTGAAGGAGCACATAAAAACACAACCTCCTGAATTTGGACATGTCTGATGTTTTCATTTTAAACCAACAATTAAGATGACTATTTGATGAAACAAATAATTTTAAAAGTTTAGTTTACATATACATTGTAGGTCTATATCTGTTCTCATGGTAATAATAGAAACATTATCCCAAAATACATTTAACACTATAACTTTTAGGAGAAAATATAAACATAATAATATTCCTGTATGAAACCAGGAAAGTTTTCTGTTCAATATGTACACATGTAATGATATAAATCACTGTCAACTAACAACATCATGGTTATTGTAGTGCATAAACTCATCTCTTAATACACTCTATCATATTTGTAGCATTATTCTTAACTATATGTAGCCTCTAAAAAGGGTCAAAGCAAAAAGGTTAACAAAATAGCATCTGAGAGTGCTGCAAGGGAAACCTCTTGTCCCATTCTGTCTAAATGTGTACATATAGCATTAAAAACCCCAGTGTTTTACTGTTTATAGTATGTTACTGTGATAAATATGATAATAAGTGCTCTAGCCTTGGTTAACTATTGAGCAATATCAATAGAAAATACAAGGAAATGACATGAACAGTAAGAGCAAGTGTTTTTTTGTTTTTTTGAAAAAGTGTTACACTTGATTTTACTCAAAACTAGGTAACATAAACGATTTTTGATAATCTAGAATTTTTTTGAGGTTACGAAGGGAAACAATTCAAAGAAACTCAATCTCTTTGTTATAGTTTTGGTAAATGACAAAGAGGACATTTACAAAAATTCAAATAAATACTTTCTTAATTAAGATTTTGTATATTTACTTCATAAAGGTGTATAATTTAGCCAAACTTTCAGTACGAGTAATGAGTCTTAAACAGTGTTAGCTGGATGGGTGGGATAAAAGCGGCGGGGCATAATGCTGTTGTAATATTCTAGACATTATTTAAGTAACATTGCCAGGCTGAGATTGTCTTTCTATCAAAAGTAAAGCAAGAGTGTATTTGGGTTATTTTTGACTTTATTACCACCATCATTATCCACAGGGTCACAGTTGTAGTATTTTGGCCACTGAATACCATATTCTATGTTGTTTATATACCAGCATGATGAATAAAGTACATTGAATCCCAGAGATATAGCCCGCTGAATATCTTCATGATTGCTTAACCAAACTTGAATAATTGTATCATTTGGGAGCTGAAAATAGTTGTTTTATATTTTGTATTTCATTGTACTATCAACAAGTTTATCCCTAAAGAAACATTAACATCATGGCCAAGTTTCAAGAGATACAGATAAAAATCAGCCTAGGCATATTCAATTCTGTTACAGATTGTAACTTTTGATAATTTTTCAGACAGAAAAAATGTGTTAAATTTTCTTCAAAATACAAATATCTCCATCTCGTGAAACTTGTCATGAGTAACTTAAATATCTATGATTGTCTGTAGCGTAGCAGCATGCTGTAAATAAAGGAGAATAAACAATATCAAGTTACCATAAGTTGCATCAGCAGGATCACACTGGTAATATTTCGACCATTTTGTACCGTACTCAATGAGATCAAGGTACCAACAAGAGGAATATATGACATTCATCCCGAGCGAGATCGCTCTCTCTACTTCCTCCATACCACCCTGCCATACTTGTATAATTGTGTCATTTGGAAGCTGCAATATATCCAACCGGTGATTTACAGTGTTCATACAGATATTCAATATCCAAATTTAAGCACTTTTAAAGCACTTTTTACCAACATGAAAAATAAAGTGTATTCTTCACCAATGAGGTAAATATGGTTTAATGTCTCAGGGCCTATATCATATGAACTCCATCACTTTTTTCTTTTCTTTTTTAATCAGGCACCTGTGCAGAACCACTGCCAGTCAGTAAGCTAGCTGGATATCTTTCTCACATGAAGAATCCCAAGATGCTAGTGCGGCTTAAACCTTCAACGGTGAGAGACAAGTGGTTTGAAGTCAACAACCTTAACCACTCAGCCACAGATGTCCCCTACCATCACTTATTGTCTTTCCACTTTTACTTTTTTGTATGATAGTAGAAGAAACAAGAGATGTCTTTAAGACATCATGCTCTACCATTTTCCATAAGACTAGGGCAATAACTGTGTAAACAGGTGACTCAGAGTTATGGAACCTGTGCCCATAATGTCAGATTGTGTGTGAAATTTGAAACAAATCCCTGATCCCATTTTTCCTTTCTGAAAACGTGACCTGGTGACTCATTTTCCGACTTAACAATGAAATCATCATTTAAAACAAATATAACATGCATTGTACCTATAAATCATACACTTCAAAATATGGCCTAAAGAACATTAACCGGATTTTCCTTTGATCTATGCTAGTGACCTAGTTTATGACCCTAGATGCAACATATCTGATCTTCACTGATATCATCCAGTCAGACACTCTAGGCAAGTTACATTTACACTTGAATCAACATTGTGACCTCTACAGGGTAACAATCTTTCCTTTAAACTTTGATTTATGCTCAAACTTGTACACAAACCTTCTAACAATGTTTGATGAAGGTAATTATAAAATACATGTTACCTGAACAAAGTTAACAACTTAAATGGTGGACTGATTGCATACATCTGACTAATTCTACAGCTAAGTAGCATTCAGTTCAGACTTCTTTAACTAAACATTTCTTCTTTTTTTGTTAAATATTTAACACAAACATAAATGCTGTAATTCAATGTCCCTTGATGTTTAACAGTAAGTTTATTAATCTGACCTACCTGGACATTATTGTTCATAATTTCTTGCCAAAACACGAGTCTAACTCCAGATGATCTTGTTGAGCTCATACTTTTGATATCTTTAATAAGTCTGTAAATAATACCAACAAAAACAACATAAACATACAACAACTGGAGTGCCTTCATCATACTAGTTCTTACACAAGGACACCAGTTGAAAAACAAGAATATATCTAGCTGATTTAACATTACTTAACTTGCTGAATTTCTGTAATGGATTTGCCTGTCTTCCAATGTGGAACATTCCATTCAAAGTAAAAAGAGTTAAAAGGTGTTTCAATATCAACATCATAAATTGAACTACCAATTATATAGTGCCTGCCCAGACCTACTATGTGCATGCAAGCTTGGCTTTGGAAAAGGCAAATCAATTTTTTGGTTTTCAGTAGTTAGACATTTAATATAATACTGAATAATCTATATGTCAAAATGATCAAATGTTTATAATTCATCAAAACCATGATCAGTTTATAGAGGATATTTGTTTAGTTCAGTGTAAGATCGAAATATATTTCACCGAGTGAGCACCAAAAGGTATATTTCACGAGTGGCGCAGCCACGAGTGAAATACGAACTTTTGGTGTTCACAAGGTGAAATATATTTCAATCTTACACTAAACTAAACAAATTTTCTTTTTATTACATGCAAAGAAACGTTTTAAAAAGACATTAAGCCTAATACTGAATGAAAAGCGCGCCAAATAATAATACAATGTGACGTCATTTACGACGTCACGTCATTAAGTTGGTACCCAGTACTGTGCACTGTGAAACAACGTAAGGGGCTTAAATTCAAAACAGTGAAATTATCAAAGTGGTAATTTCACTGTTTCAAACAGTGAAATTACCAGTTTTATATCACTGATATATTTCTATAAACCACCGAAAAGCATGTAATAAAATAAGTTAATAGATAATCAGAATTTATTTAATTTATACAATTTCATTTGACAAAAAAAAAGTAGGGCAGGGACTAAGCTTTGATGTTCGAAAAATTATTGAATAAAATTTTAAATATATATTGATACAAATAAACACAAGGAACATCGCAATGCGATGCAACCAGGTTTTCAGCAAAATATTTCACAGAAGCTTTGTCATGAAGGGGCATTTGTTTTTAATTAAACTTTTAGGAGGAATTATGGCTTTTTTAATATTCCTCAAACAAAAATGATTGAGAAATTTTATGCTGTCTATTCGCCTTTTTTCCCCAAATGTTTTAGAAAGGTAAACAGTCCTTTATTTTTGCTTAATTTTTGCATTTTTGCGTCTCTTGTCATTTTCTTTTGTCAACAATATTGGCGTGTGGTGTTTTGTGCGATATCAAGAAAAGTATGTTCACAATTTTAAAAAAATACTTGAATGATGTCTTGGAAGAAACATGGGAATTTAGTGAGCGCCAGGGCACTTGATGACAAAGCTTCTGTGAAAGTTTGGTCAAAATCCATTGAGAAATGTAGGAGAAGTTGCGCACTGTAGAAATTGTTCACTATATATTCTGTATAAGGAAAAAATATACAAAGGGCCATAATTCGGTCAAATATTATCCAATCACAAAACCCCGACAATATGTGCCAGGCACTTGAAAACAAAGCTTCTAAGAAAGTTTGGTCAAAATCCGTTGAGAAATGTAGAAGGAGTTGAGCACAGAAGAAATTGTTCTCTATATGGAAAAAATATACAAAGGGCCATAATTCGGTCAAATATTATCCAATCACAAAACCCCGACAATATGTGCCAGGCACTTGATAACAAAGCTTCTAAGAAAGTTTGGTCAAAATCCGTTGAGAAATGTAGGAGGAGTTGCAAACAGAAGAAATTGTTCACTATATATTCTATATAAGGAAAAAAACAAAGGGCCATAATTAGGTCAAATATATACCAATTGCAAAACCCTGGCAATATGTGTCAGGGCACTTGATGACAAAGCTTCTGAGAAAGTTTGGTCAAAATCCGTTGAGAAATGTAGGAGGAGTTGCGCACAGAAGAAATTGTTCACTATATATTTTATATGAGGAAAAAAAACAAAGGGCCATAATTAAGTCAAATATTATCTAATCGCAAAACCCCCACAATATGCGCCAGGGCACTTGATGACAAAGCTTCTGTGAAAGTTTGGTCAAAATCCGTTGAGAAATGTAGGAGGAGTTGCGCACAGAAGAAATTGTTTACGCCCGCCCGCCCATCCGCCCCGCCCGCCGACATACCTCAATCTAATAACCAGTTTTTTCCTTCGGAAAACCTGGTTAATAATATTTATAATGTTTGTATTAGTTACCTGGTAACATAATATTCCAGCACTTTTCTAATGTCATAACTGTAATAGTAAGGATCTGAATTTCTGATCTCAGTCTCTGGTTTACCTTCTAGTTTTGCCAAGAACTTTGTTACTTCAGAATTAGATTGCCTGTAGGAAATAAGCATAAAAATGTTAAAAATCATAGAAACAGTAATTTATCATGGTAAATACAGAAAATAATCAATGTAAAGAAGAAGGCCATGATAGACCCGGATTGCTCGACTGAGATTCATTAATAATAGAGAACAGAGTGATGTAACTTGGCATCAAAATGCTTCATTACTTGGCTTGGATGGTATTATCACAGTGCCGAAAGCATATAGCCCTAAAATTTCTCAATTACAATTTCAAGTATGTACATTTTTACAATATACACACCTTACAAGTACAAAGGGGAAAAACTCTGACATGTCATACAGAATCTGATAAAATCTTACTTTGCCACAGACTTTTATAGTTAAACATTCATATGAAGATCTCGTATTTGTTGAAACTTTTTAGTTATTGTATCAAGAAGATAAAGAAACATGTGAATTGGTAAGAAAATTACAATGCAACATTTATTTCATGGTAACAAAATGTGTATAAATCTATTGATCATTACCAGCATGTCATAGGGACCTCGTCTCCACCCAAGTGTATATACTGATCCTTGAATGAATGAATGACATCTTTGAAGAAATTTTTCAGGAATCTGAAAGTTTCGTTCTTGGTGGGATCCATAGGGCCCAGGTAGCCATCTACAGGTCTGTCACCTTGGTAACACTGAGTCAATAAATCTGGTCTGCTTAATCCCCAGGAATAGGTATGACCTGAAATCAATATGTGATATATTTATTCTCTTCATTCAATAATAAATAAAATAACCAACAACTAGATGGCTTTGAATGTAAATACATTCCTCCATTTAAAGCATAAGTATCTCTGCAAAGTTTGAGATAATTTTAAGGTATTATTTCCAACTAAATAAATTTACACACAAGTTAATATTACTAATAAAAAGTCATGACTAGTTACTCCATGTACAAAAGTTCAACACATATATCCAAAAATAAAGAATATATTCAACAAAACCATCAAAATAAATACTTTACAATAATGGTTCTGTTGTTATTAACCTTCATCAAACTCAATTTCATAAAGTGACTCATCCATCTATCAATCTGGACAAATCCTTTCATCATTTTTAGGGAAATTTTCACAGACCAGCCAACATTCTGCATTGGTCACATGGGAAGAATCAGTGGCCTCTAGCACTCTACTGGTTAATGATGGACAGATAACTGAACCAGGATTTATGTTAGTTCAAAAAATCAATCTGAAGTTGCTCTTTGTTACAAGTTAAACACAATTTTGAAAATGAATCAGTCTAGGTTTTTATTTGTGAAATATTGTTGAAGAAAACATGAAAAAAGAGAAAAAATTATGGATAAGTGATAACAATAGTTCTAGGTGAGAATGTGTTTCAATGAGCTAGAGTGTGATTAATGTTTATTTATTTTCACTACCTGAAAATGAGCAATTCAAATGTATATTATCCATTATATGGTGAGGATTTCTGTCATTAACGCTGACTTACCTGGTGTATCAAATTCTGGTTCCACTCGTATACCCCGTAAACGTGCATATTCTATTATATCAGCCACATCTTCTGGCATATACACAAAAGAAGGATGAAAGGCTCCCTGTAAAACATTATAAATCAAACTTCAGTTTAATCAAAAGAAATGTAAGTAAATGTACAAATAAAAAATTTTAAAGTAAATTCTAAAAGTATCTGGAAAAACGCACTGGAGTGTTATGAAGCCATTCAATAAAACGATATTACAGTAGTGTATTAAAAATTTTCCCTATACAAATATAGCCTTAAAGCGCACTAAACTAAGCTTTATACGGTAGGCCCGTCAGCGAAAAATAATTCTTTTTAACTGTAAACCATTCTTCTTAGTTTAGACTTTTGATTAAGAGAATATTATAATTGTGTAGATTCAATACTTAATTTATTTCACTTGTTGAATAAAACAATATTATGCTCGCCAGATGCTCACTTATAATTTTATTCAACTCGTCCAATAAATTTAATATTAAATCTACACTCATTAAATGTCCTCTATATCTTTAGCCTATCCAAATCTTCAGTTAATGTATTTAAAATGGTAAAAACAAAAGTTCCATTGAGTCCTTAGGCAACCTGACCACACACACTGACTAATCAATATGTGGCAACCTGAATGACTTGTCAAATCAAGAATTTGTATAAAACTTCTAATAAAACCTGCTAACTTAAATTTCAAAGTAGACCATGTATTTAAAATCAATGGGTATCATGATAAAATGGAATAAACATTTACCTTTGCACTAAGATCAGGATAGGCATTACTATAGAATGGGAAGGACTGATCATCTACTAAATGCCAGTGTAGAACATTCATCTTGTTTTGTGACATGCCTTCCTGTAATTTACAGTACACAATCACGTAAGTTTTCATTTACATAATGCTCTTTGCTGTCAGCCACAGAAATGAAAATAATGCTGAAATGTTCAACTAAAGAAATGAACAAATACAAATTGCTGAAATAAACAACTACAAAAATGAATAAATTGCTGACATATTCAGCTACAGAAATGAATAAATTGCTGACATATTCAGCTAAAGAAATGAATAAATTGCTGAAATATTCAGCTAAAGAAATTAATAAATTGCTGACATATTCAGCTAAAGAAATTAATAAGCGGACTTATTCAGCTAAAGAAATGAATAAATTGATGACATATTTAGCTAAAGAAATGAATCAATTGCTGACATATTCAGCTAAAGAAATAAATAAATTGCTGAAATATACTGCTATTGACATCTAAAGATTTCACACTGTAAAAGTGTCTGAATACATAAAGAGTAGGCAGTATTAACTTTACTACTGACTCTTAACAAACTGAAATACACTGAACATTATACAATGAATATGCAAAATTTCTCTAACATGGCAAATTCAGATTGAAGTCCTGTTATTCTACAGTCTACAAGAATCAATGTATTGAGCATACTGTTGTTACTAAGATAATTATATGATAACAGTTATAATTTACTGTCTCACAGAAATGACTCACTGATATAATAATTGCAAATAAAAAAGTAAACATCTGCCAAGAAATAAATCAAGTTTGTTTTAATGTATATAATGACTAGTCAATAACTGTCTGATGTTAGAGAGAAATTAGTTCCATTTTACATTTATATGTCACAGACATAGAATTGCACTATTTAATATATACTTGGGCTGTTAGGATACATAAGTGTATTTGTTGCATTAAATATTATCATCTTGCAATACCTATCGTTTATTTGTTTTGTAAAGAACCATACATATACGAATACAGTAAATCAAAATATGAAAATTTGATAAAATCTCAAATGTCAGAGCACGAAAAAGCTTTTAATTCCCTCTCAAATCAGTATATTTATGTCCATGAAAGCCCGATTTTTATTTTGTGCACAGCTTACGTAAGCAGTATAACAGAATAGCTACAACCTCAGATAACAAGTTCAATATATTTAAAAACTAACACACAAAGCCAATTGGTGCTAGCTTAAGAAACTTTTTATGTGAGTTTAGTTTTGAATCTCAGATTTTCATTTTTACATCTTCCCTCAGAGAAGTCCTGTAAATTCGTGTGGCTAAATATCTAAAAATGAATAAACTAAATTAAAACTCCCTCTATGGAATTATTTCAGTTTTCAAAGAATTTAATAGTGTGAAATATTAGTGTCATAACTAACATGCTATCATTGTGATGTGTACTCTTGTCTTCATTGCAGCTCTTTATGTGTACAGTAAAAGATACAATTCTATGCAACAGTGTAAATCTTTCTAACAGAATATATATAAAACATAACATCAGTAGTATTGTCTTTCTAGTCTACACATGCAATCTTCATAATTTACAAAAGCTTTAAGACACAATATTCTTTCCACTGCCATGTTGCAGGTAGAACACTACAACAAAGCATGAAATTTACAAATCTAATCATGGGACAAAAAAAAATCCAGTTTAGAATTTTTGGTTTATGTCACTTAAGATGAAAAAACCTGCCAGCACTTTGAAGTTTTTGAAAAATTGACACTGACAAAAAACTATTAAGATAATACAAACCGGTGCTGTTCAGTAAAATTTGCTATTTTACAAGATCTAGTCTCCTAATAAGAAATAGATAAGTAACTTTGCAATTTTCAAACAAGAATTTGTGTAGTCTACTGGGTGCATTTAATATCACAACACTGTCAACATAGCAACCACTGCCGCAATAAAACAAAATAAGAGTGCCATGACTTCCGTACATTGCTCAGCTCAGAATACCAGTTCACAAAGTGACCTAGTTTCAAGAAATGTTATTCAATCATTGTGACAAAAGTGTCACTAACAGAGGACATAATTCAATATCAAACTCTGAAATTCAAAACATTTGAACAGTTTGTCTAATAATCATACTGATCTCATGACCTTGTTTTGATGTATTGGTGAAGTTTTGAGATATTTACATAGTTTTGATGTGGTCACCTAATTTTGATGTACTGACCTAATTTTTGACACTAAATGACTGGAAAAAACTGGATTGTACTTTTTTAATGTGAACAATAGATGTCCGACACTGCTAATCATGAAACTCATAGGTATTTGTGTTTTACTTAATACCATGATTTCACCTCTATCAATTTAATGTTAAATCATATCTCTGTTTGAAAAACTTCTCATAATTAAACAAGCATAAAATGCATCTTCGAGAATTGATCATTGCTAAATAATAACTTTGAAAGGTAGCCTATTTTAAGGGATGTAGAAATTTCTGGAAACTTACGTTTCAATACCTCTGACATTTCAACAGACAGGAATAGAGATATAGGTAGGAAGGAGTGGCATTGGCAATAAATCCTAACATGGTACAGGGCAATGACTGCCATCAAGACATTACTGAAAAGAATTCTATTTCCAACAAAATGTTTAAATCTCATTGTTTTATGATATTTACAGTCTACTAGCAAGCAATAATTATTTTTAACAATATTTACCAGAACATCATAGATGGTCTCCTTGAATATAAAATGTCTTGACGAGTCAATAAGAAGACCTCTGTGAGAGAATCGTGGATAATCATTAATCACTGTGTCTCGGATGTACAACTGAAAACATACAATTAAAGTAATAAAGAAATAAAAATGTCTACAATACAATCTTATGTTATTAAACTGAATCTAAGTCAGACACATGAAGCCTGCATTGGCAATTTTCAAATCAGTGTCCTGGATACATCAGTTGAACCTTTACCCCTACCCAGCTGGAACCAGATGTGATAAGTCTTTGCCACCTGCATACAGCCAGACCAACCTGCACATCTACATGACCAGGCTCAGTACAGTTAGAAGCTTAATTTTTGTATTTTCATATTGAAACCCTTTTAGTTTCAAATGGACTGTTCCAAATTTAAATAAGGGCAAATCCATTACTTAAAGTCCAACTAATAACACTCTGATTACAAATTTAGTCACTTTTAAACATAGTATATCTTAGACTATAGAAGATATACAATGATCAAAGAGCCCCTTTTAAGAGTAAAAAGCTTTATTGGACCACTGATAATACTGATTTATTGCGATATTGGTTTGTATCCAGATAAAAATCATACCACTGTACCTACATCAAAAGAAGAATATTTGTGGATTTTTAGAAAAGGTGGTTGTCAGTACTAAAACTACTGAAAACAGAAGTTGAATAGTTTGTATATAACTCATGTCCATAAACAACAGAGACATCTTTTCCACTGAATGGACTGTGCAGTTTTGAATTTTATTGACATACATTTCACTTTACATTTTATTTGATGATAACATTATGCACAGAGTTGAAAAATCAGTAACACTTGGCTCTTTATTATCAATGATTTTTCACCTTACATGTCTATAACAGAGGCCTCTTCCTAATCGAAATTTAAAGTCATGCATTTTCCCCAAAAATTCGAACTTGCACCAGCATTTTTACTTCCCAAATTAGCAATTTTAATGATATTTTCCCAAAAATCAAGAGATTAAGGCCTTTTCCCAATTAAGTACGGAAAAAAACACCGATGATAATATAACAGAATTTAGTAATCACAGATAAATTTTTAAAAAATCATTTTCAAGTACAATGTATTATAATAACTATAAAGAACTGCATTTTGAGGAGATGCTTTTTTATAAACGTTTGTACAACTGCAAGGAAAGAAATAGATAAACATCAAATAATTCTGATTACTTTTTGAAAAATAAACAATATCTTTCATAAACACAAACTTTTAGTGTATATTAAGTAGAAGGAAGTAAAATATTAAAGTTTCATATGGTTATTTTTGCATTGGTTGTACAGTAAATGTCTGATAGCATCCTTACAGACTATATGATCAATCAATATAATAATAAACATGTCATCTTAAAGCTGACATAGTTCACATTTGTTTCCCTACAAACTTCACATGGGAATAATCTAATTCATCAGTATTCTGTACAAGAATAAATTGTTCTCAAGTAGGCAACTAAAAGCAAGTTTTGTCCATTCTTAAACAACAAATGTTCAACTAGTCATTCAATGATTTTTACCTTTATTTTCCATTATAAGTTAATTTAATAATTAAGAGTTTATATGAAGTCTTATTGTCATTATCATTTATGTCACCATTTAGACAGATGGACAAACAACAAATTTATATATTAACCAACTTTGTCAATAAAATAATTGCTCTATTGGTATCCTGTTTATATTTCCTTACTATTAAAATAAAGTGGAAAGACTGCCAAATGAGGCGAAGTTTGTTTAATTAATTAAATACATTTATTTGAGACCTGCAATAATATTATTGGTTCAGCTCAGAAATCCTGGAGTAACCACTTTCTGCCTATATCTGATTCCAATATTATCTTAAATGAAACATGTAAATCAGCAAATGGGAATAAAGAGGTCTAGAACACTCTTACTGTCATCAATCAATCATTGACAAACTTCCAATGTAACATATTAAATACAGACAGTTAATACGACATAAATGAAAGAATAATTTTCTTATTTTGTTTTATAAAATCACAAACGTGGACAAGAAACAAATGCCCCTGTCCAAAATTTGTCAACACATAAGAATTATGGTCTATCCTCAATGTAGTTCAACATATTTTATTAAATCTCTTTTTTATTAGCACAGATAAGAATGGATATTAATTTTTTCTTGCATATATGCTTTTTATCATGCTTTCTCAGCCCTATCAGCCTTTGTTATTATATTTTTGAGTATTTTAACTAAAACCGTCCATTATTCTACAACCATTCACCCAAACTTTTATCATAGTTATAGTAAACTCGCTCACTTAGTTTCTCAAAAAAAATCTATTTTAGTTTGTGTAGAAAGATATAAGCTTATAAACACACTCTCTAGAATTCATTCCTGGAACCAACCAGTACAAAGTTTCTTGCTCAAGGAAATGATGACTTGTCCCTTTATGGGGTTTGAACCATCCTAAGATAACTAGCCAATGCACTCAGCCATCCCGCCACTTATATTTATCCCTTTTTAATTGACTTGCTTTTGATATTAAAGTGTCTTGCAGGCTATTAGATTTTAGGACGTTTAAAATACTCAATTGAACAAGCAAACCATAAAGTGTCCGGTCAAACTGTAAGGAAGTGCATGCTGGCCTGAATCTCTCATAATAGTTAATTGGATTATAGTTTATTGTTGCAATCACTCAGAGAGATCAACTTGTAATTGAGAATAAATTCTCTAGGGGTAAAGTAGGAACACTATTGATAGAATGGTTACAATTTTCTGACAGTTTTCCTGTACACGCACATTCTCCAGACATTTTCCTACATTATACAATGCCTATCAAAGCTAGTGTCACTACAATTATAAGGTCTTTTCTTACTGAACACTATTTCTAATAGCTTTTTGCCAAGTTTTACAAACCTAAAAAAAATCCCAACTACATTTTTGGACACAAAATACAATTACAGAATGGTTCTGTCTAAAATAACAAATTTGTTGGTATGTTACTGTCATCACTAAAATGTTACTACAAATCACAAAGAAGAAACTGCTGACAGCTAATTGTTATTTTACAGGAGGCAATTTTGTCATTTACACATTTCAAATAGTTTATCTAAAACTGCTATCCCATAATAATGTTTTTTTCCCCCGGTCACATTACCAACTGGTGTTTATAAATATTTGGGGAACCTTCTCAGATAATGCTTTACATTTGGGGAACCGTCTAAGTTAATCATCATAAGTTAATACTTTACATTAACTGTTATAAAATGTGAAATTGCCATAAATTTTCTTTGAGCTTCAAATAATTAATACACTTGTACACAGGCGAAGTTAACTTTCGAGATACTTAAATAAATTTTACACATTAGTATAGTTTTACAAAATTTTATCAACAACAATGAAAATTTAACTTACCAGTTGATTGGTTCCTTTAAAGATGAGTTGACTAAAAGTTTCTAAACCTCGTAAAGCGCCCCACACCTCATTTGCCCAAATATGTACACCAGTACGTTTTACAAACAAATCATCTAAAACCAGACACATCTTCACAATGAATGAATGCATCAAAATCCAAATACAAGAAATATCAATACCTTAGCAATAGTTTAAAATCAAGATAAATGTTTAATATTCTGTAAGACTTTAACAAACTTTTCCTTAACAGGAAAGGCAATACTAATTGGGAACTCGTAATTTAAAGACATGGTTTGAGTACCGGTAAATAACATTCTTTTCAGAAGAAAACAATCTCTATTCTTAAGTCTGCATAGTAGCCAGAGCTTACAGACTTTTGAAATCAGAGTGCATAATAAATATTTTCAAGGCAGAATTACAGATATTTTAATAAAAGTAACGGACCTCTAAAGAGGGCAAACACAATAGTATCAAGGGATGCCTTATAATAATTCTTGTGATAATCATAAAATAAGCTGTGGCATCTGTGATATAAATTCTCCACTTATTAAGTGAAACGAGTCAAACATTCCAAATGTAAAGATATTTTCCTCATGCAGTAAATCATATTACGAGGTCTGATGACTATATAATCAACTTTTCTGTCCTGTTTGTCACAGAGGAAATTAAATGGTTTATCAACAAATCTACCAACTGACATACTGACATTAAAATTTATGAAACAAAACTCAGGGTATAGAAAGTTCATTTATCAAATCCTTACCATTCAAAATAATACTAAAACAAACTTACATGACTCATCAGATTTGGCTGTAGGATATTTAGAACATGGTTTACGTATCTTTATCAAAACTCTTGGAAGAACAGGTGCATCTAAAAACAATTGTTTATCATACTTAATGGATGGATCTTCAAACATTGTACTCTGGGAATGTTGAAAATTATCATACACATCCTCAACTGGATCTTCTAAAACATATGGCCTGTACCTCTCTATTGCTTTTTCTATAATATCACACTTAATTTTTGAGAGATCAAACCGAAAACTAGCACGGTCAATTCTGTATATTTTGTCCTTTTTGGATACATAGTACTGTGGTAATGGCCATGGTTCTCCTGTTGTTGAATGAGGTGCTCTTCTTATTTTCTGCTCTGGCATTACATACTGTTCAAAGTTCACAGCAAAGTCACTCCAATCCCAAACTACCTTTAAACTCCCTGGTTTCTCTTCTTCAGTTGGTTGAATCACTTTTTTCCTGTTCTGTTGATCTCTCTCTACATTATTCACATCAGCAGGAAGCCCTATATTACGAGGTATTTCATTTGTGTCTATTCCTTGATTATCATCATTTCTAAAGTTCTTCTCTACATCACCATCAATTATACGAACATGACCTGGTATTCCACCATTATTATTATCTGATCTAGTATCCTTCTTATCAAACAGATCCCCTGTTATTTTATTAGCATCAGCTCCCTGGGGCACTGGATTATTGGCTACATCAAAAGCACCATTTCCATTTGCTTGATGGTCATTTTGAACATTTCCCATATTTTCAGAACCATCAACAATCCTTCTTCCTATCACAGAGTCTTTCCTCACTTCAACAGATATCCCCTTCTGAGAATCTCCATTTACTGGTATTGCATTGTCAGGTTCAATTCTTTGTCTAGAATTATCAACATCAACATTGCCTACATTGGTGTTTTCAGCTTGGTTACCATTGTTTATATTCGGGACAACACGTTGATTCTGTGCAACATTCTGATTAACAAAGTTTTGAACTGATTGTTGATTCCTGTTTACAAGGCTTTGTAAGGGTTTCAGATCTTCCTTCAGGTTCTTCAGCTGGTCTTGACTGTATAACTTATTCCCAATTCTTTCATACTGTGGTTGCTATAGATAAATGAAAAGAAACAAATGTGAAATTTAGTGTTTAAACCATTTATTTAACTTCTACATAGCAGTAGTATAACACAGATACAGAAGTATATTGAGTCCTGAAATACCATCTCTTCATGTTGCTAGAATGATGATCAGTTAAGTTCCAATTTTTCTTTTTAAATATGGCTTGAGTTTACTGATGGCCCTTTTTACCACTTATATTCCTGGACACTTCAGTTACTTACAACTTAAGCTTGTGCAAGTGTCAGCATAATTTTTCTGCTACTTGTACAACAAAACACTTGGGATTTACAAAACACTAAATTCCCTACATTATAAGTTACAAAACACTAAATCCCCTACATTATAAGTTAACCCTTTCCCCCATGAGCATATTGTGAAAAATGGCCGTTTTCACTGAAAAGCCTCCTGTTACAAGTTCAAACTGCTATGAAACTATGAAAAATGCTTCAATACTAATCACACTTGGTACAAATGTTGACTGGACCATTGCCTTTGTAACGACATGCTCAGTCTTAAATTTCCTGTTACCATGGCAACGAGGTGCATCTCAAAATTGCCAAAAATCACTATTTTGCCTCGATTTTTCCATCAAAATTTATTTCAAAGTGCTGTAACTGCTCAAGGGATTGAGATAGAGTCAATTTAGGCTTTTCAGCGTTGGTTAAACGTTACATTATGATTGACCTGGGGTCATTTTTAGCCTCTCCCAAGTCCAAAATTTTCTTGGTGATGAGGGGGACTCCGCCCCCCCCTTCAAACCCCCCTAACAGAAGGGGGCACATCCCCCTTCTGACAACCCCCTGATGTATCTTTTGGATGGGGGGCGGCGCTGAAAAAGTGCTCAATTTTTTTTAGCAACATTTCTCAAACGAAAACTTATGTTGGGGGCCCAAATAGGACATTTTTTCACTATTTGAAGCCTAAAAAAAGGGGGGGGGGGGGGGGTCGAAAGTGCGTTGTTTCGCGTATATATGTGGTAAAGGGTTAACAAAAAATGATGAAACACTTTGGAATCACCTAAAAACTAGTTTTTCCATGTTCACATGTGGTCTTTCACCTAATTTTGGTGAAAAATTGTTGTTTTGAAACATTTATAATTTTTTTAGTTAACCCTTTCCCCCATGAGCATATTGTGAAAAATGGCTGTTTTCACTTAAAAGCCTCCTGTTACAAGTTCAAACTGCTATGAAACTATGAAAATGCTTCAATACTAATCAAACTTGGTACAAATGTTGACTGGACCATTGCCTTTGTAACGACATGCTCAGTCTTAAATTTCCTGTTACCATGGCAACGAGGGGAGATCTCAAAATTGCCAAAAATCACTATTTTGCCTCGATTTTTTCCATCAAAATTTATTTCAAAGTGCTGTAACTGCTCAAGGGATTGAGATAGAGTCAAAGGCTTTTCAGCGTTGGTTAAACGTTACATTATGATTGACCTGGGGTCATTTTTAGCCTCTCACAAGTCCAAAATTTTCTTGGTGATGAGGGGGACTCCGCCCCCCCCTTCAAACCCCCCTAACAGAAGGGGGCACATCCCCCTTCTGACAACCCCCTGATGTATCTTTTGGATGGGGGGTGGCGCCAAAAAAGTGCTCAATTTTTTTAGCAACATTTCTCAAACGAAAACTTATGTTGGGGGCCCAAATAGGACATTTTTTCACTATTTGAGGCCTAAAAAAGGGGGGGGGGGGGGTCAAAGTGCGTTGTTTCGCGTATATATGTGGTAAAGGGTTAACTATTTAATTTACTTTAGGATCCAACTTAAACATTCATTCATTGATTATGACATCATGTATTTCAGTTACATGACCCAGCAGCATTGTGAATTCAAATGCAAACTTTCTACCAGGGCTTACAGACAACTCACCCCCCAGACAATAAACATGAGGGGTGAATTGTCTTATCAATTTTGGGGGGTGAACCGTCTTGAGGGGTGTGTTGTCTTGGTTTTTTGAGGGGTGAATCATCTGGGGGGTGAGTTGTCTTGTTTCCTCTACCAGAACTAACTGGATAAAAAAATAAATTATGTTTCAGTTTGGGATTTTAGTCATACAGGCCACAGAGACTGCTCAACCAATCTAATTATTGTAGAGAATGCAGTTACCTACATCCAGTGTTCATGTTTTCTGTATTAATATGAACTTTTGTTAGCTCCCTTACAATTTTTACATTCAACAGGATTATTTTGGTTGTCATCTGTCTCTTTGCTAGTAAATATCAGTTTTTATCACATTACTGTGCCACTTTTTTGTCTCCATAAAAAAGGTATGGCAAAGGCCTTGCATATGTTTTGATGTCATACATGTTATACAAAGTTAAATTTGAGTGTTACAGAATACAGTGAAACTTGATTATAGTGAACTTGTCAGGACCTTGTTATTGTGTACACTATATCCCAGGTTTCTTATAACCAATATAAGGAATTGGTATCTTACAAATAATCAATGTATAACAAACATAACTATATAAAGTATTATTATTATTACATGTATCACAATTTGAAAGTTATTATTTTTATTCATTCTTAATATCTCAAAATAATTTTATAGTCAAAAGTTAAATCTATACACTATCAAATTCTTAATAATGTATGTAGGTTCTGATTTATTAGTCCTTATTTTGAAATGTGAGTCTAAAACCCATTTCAATTTTGAAGTAACAAACAACTACTTTAGCTGTAATACAGTGCATAGTTCTACTTTTGGATCCCATTGTCGAAATATTTGATATATTGTAATTATATCTTGCAACATTTTCATTTCAGTAATGACCATTATGTTACAACACAAAAGCATTTCTTTAATGTTCTTTAATGCTTTTTTCGTTTTCAATAGATTTGTTTCATTTTATCAGCCAGTCATAGTAATTTCATGGTAATGACACTTAATCAAATTTTTTTTAAAAATCCGAAGACTACTGATTACTTGCTTCAATAAATATGTATCATACAAATACCTGAGAAAGGTGTTGTTGTGTAAGCTTTCAATCATGTGTGCTGAAGTGTGAATACCAATCACAGTGAAATTGATTCTCATAGTTTGCTTAAAACAACTAAATAACCCACTATAACAGTGGTACATACTTGAATGGAACCTGAATTTGTAGTTTCTTATTTAATACTAAGTTTATATAGCTATGATTAGACATTAAAGAAAAAGAAGAAGGAAAATCAGTACATAGGCTAGCAAAAAAAATGTCCCATACAACCGAATGTATGGTGAAACCATGTGAGCTATAAGTGCATAGTTAGTGCATTAATGAACTCATTAAATATCCTCTAATTTTCAAAAACAATATCTTATACCTGAGCCCCATTTTGCTGTATAGGTCTATCCTGTGGAATGTTCCCCTGGTTATTGGGTGAATTATCTGAATTTGCGAACCTCCAACCACCACCTTTAGGCTGAACTTGCTCTATTACATCTAAAACAAAAGAAACCTTTAGTTTGTGTATTACAGAATAAAAAGACAACATTAAAATGACAAAAAGCCCAATATTTGCCTCAAGTCACTCAACAGATCAGTCATATAGTTAACATAAATATTCAAAGCTCACAAAGATAAGTTTTAAGCTACCTTAATCATGACCCTTAAATAAGCTTAAAGTATCAAGTGAATACCTTCAGTGGTAGATAGGAAATGACAGTGTAATCAAACCTTAAATCAACTGTTCCTTAATACCATAGCACCAATTGTTTTTCATAAAAAAATGTTTTAATGGTCATTTTTTTAATCTCCTCTGTGTTCCACTACAATTTTTCTCAGTAGGTTTCAACAAATTTTTAAAAGATCGTTTTTGTTTTTTTTTCAATTTAAATTTATACTACAGTTAAGTCATAAGATGATTTAAATCATTCTCAGGTGGTTTTTTTCTCTCCAATTTTACAGATAAAAGCAATAAATTATTCAAAACTAATATTTGTAAACAATTTCATACCATCATTTTGAAATAAGATACAAGTCAGACCCTCAATTCACACCAAAATAACAATAAAGTCACAAGTCTATCAATTAATCTCCCATGTCCAAAGTCAGCCAGAAAATAATTGAATAAGAAATTTGATTGATACAGACAAACATCTTTATAGACTATATGTTCTAAAATTTCTCTGCCATAAAAGTTGTATTATATATAAGACACAGATGTTTGAAAAATGCCTATAAATGCTTAAGATTTTCGTTATCTTCAAATTTTTTGCATGTGTTTGAATAGGTAACAAAGTAAATGTCTATAAGTTGATAAAAAGATTACATATAAGATTTTATAAAACAGTTTATAATCTGTGTTTATAAAAGGGACTCCACTCAGGTTTAAAAGCCTAAAAACATTTGAATTTTTTACATAAATGAGCTAGGGCACATTAAACAGAAATATATGCAAAGATAGTTAAGAAATATACTTTGAAATAAATCGAAAAACATATTTTTATGCTTTTCTTAGACCGATTTGAGGGAAAAGTGTTTAAACGCTTTTCATTTTAGGTCATTTTTTTTACAATTTGAATAATTATTCTGGAAAAACAAAGTGCGCGAATGATCTGAAATTTTGCACAAAGATTAGTGGTCTACATAAAATGGCACATTTATCTGGAAAAAATATTTTCATTCCTATCATGTCAAAAAATCTCAGTGGTGGAGTCCCTTTAAACTTCAATGGATGATTTGATGTCAGATGCTAAAACTGTCACTTCAACTATCAAAATGTTAAAATGTTAATATGAAATAACTTAATAATTTTTAAGAGAATATTTCTTTGTTCTTGAACTTTTGGAAAGTAACAAAATATGTCAATAACAAAATGTATCTGAAAATCATCACCAGATTATTTTTTATATGGTGTTAATACTAATAGCTGGTCTTTCAAAGCAGAAAGGAATATTTGGTGAACAACAACAAAAAAATTTTTTAAAATCAATGTCCATGCCCTTTAATTTTAAAATTAAAATTTTAGAAAACTTTTTTCACATTCAACTTGGACAATATTTTTTGTTATTTTTTGTTTTATATTTTACATTTTCCAGCGGGTTTGTTTACTGTTAAAATTTGGGGACCACCTCCCCGGTTACATCTATTTTCCAACATTAACTACTAAGTATGTCAGCAAATCAAGGTTGTTGCAATTAGTATTGTTTATGAGGTCAACTGTTGCCTTGTCTTTACTGTCATACATACATAATACATCTTCACATATTTAGGCAATGTTAAACAGGCAAAGTCAGTTAAATAATATCCTCATGCAGAATGAGTACAGGAAGATGAAATACCTTTGTTTTAAATTGCTATTTATCAACAAGCAGACCAGTAATGGCCCTTTTAAAGCCTCACCTGTGGAGGGATTACAAATTATTTTCCTTACTGCTCAACATTAGTCAAGTGCAAGAATTTATACATTATGATGAAAAGAAGAACACAAATTTTATATTCATATTCAAAACTGACATAAGAATCATAAATGCAAACACTGTGACTCAAAATGAGTGAAACTGAAGTTATGAAGATTTTCCTATAAACTAAAGGCCTCAACAGACGGTAGGATTTTGAAGTACAACACCAATTAAAACTAAGATGTACAGGCAAATCTAAATGTGTGAAGGCTACTATTTCTTGATTTCGGAAACCTTAAGTCTAGATGTAAGGAATAGGACATGTTCTATTTTGAAAATCTTGTCGTACAGATTTTTACAGACCTCCCACAATGACAAGTAACAGATAACCAAATTATCTCCTGATAATGGGTGTAATGAATGAAATTCCAGGACAATTAGGGCTAAAAGGTAAACATAGTAGTAAGATGGGGTAAAAATGATGTTGGAGACCCAAAGTTGTGTTATGTTCGAATCCTAAATTATTCCAAAAATGATTATGTCACGGTATTGAATTGTTCTCTAATTAGGGGAGGGGAGGTAGTTTGTAGGCGGCCAGATAGCTTAGTCAGTAGAGCCGCAGTAAGGTATTCCGAGGGTCCCAGGTTTGAGTCTCGGTCAGGCTTCACATTAAAAAAAAATTATATATATTTTTTAAAATGGAGGTGTTTCAATCATTACTAATGGCCAAAAAAGTATTTAGTGAGTAAAGTATGTAAAGGATCAATGTAAAGGGATCCTTTTTAGGGGAAACCTCAGATGATTCTTACAGTGTAGAATTACCGTCTGAATGCAAGTGTTGTATAGCTTTGAAAATTGTACATCTTATCTCTAATTTAGTGCTGTAATCCTACCGTCTGTTGAGGCCTTAAGCTTAGTGACCTAGTTTTTTTTTACCTAAAAGATCTGTTATTTGACCTTGACTTAGAAACCATCAAAAAGAACTACTCTGAGCAAATAAGTCATTTTTTTTATTTGTCAAGGTGAACTCTACTCTTGACCTATATAACTTCAAATCATCAAGTCATGAAAAGCATTTTAATTAAACCCCTATTCAATGTGTATCGGGAAGATTCGGGCCCCTAGATCTTCCCAAAATGCCCTTTTTATAAAAATTTCCCATTAAAAAAAACTTTTTCTAATTTTCAATACAATTTTTGACAACTAAAATTTTAAAAAAAGGAAACAAAAAACCCCCCTTTTCGCATGTCTTTTATTAAAATCTTTTTTAAATTTCATAAAGTTTGGTCATTGATTTAAAATGATTTATCTTAAAGCTTTTTTGGCAATTTCACCCAGCAACATTTATTTTTACAAGAAAATTTAAAAGCAAAAAAGGGACATCCGACTAAAATGAAAAGCAATTTCAAATTTTTAATTTTTTGATAACACAAAAACTTTTAAATTTCCTTTTTGTACCCCTGGTAATAAAACTTTTTAAAAAGTTTTAATATAGAAACTGTAGAAACTGAAGACAAAAAACTTTAAAATTATCAATAAATTTAAAGAAAATTTCAATGACTACACTTTAATAAATAATGAAGATATAGCACAAAATATCATTTTACAAGCTTTTAAGGTAATAAAAATTTAAAGTAAATATGAATAGAAAAGTTCCCATCAGTTCCATGTATTGTGGTATACTTACTGTTTTGGTTGATGGCTTCAGCCCATGATGCACACACCAAACTTAGCAATAGGAGCAGCTTACTCTGTGTAGTCATCATATCAGTCAGTCCCATCTCTCTAAAATAAACAACACCAACAACATTATCACAACACCTTCATGTATAATTACCTTCATAGCTTTATACTAGTCACTTTTATAATCTGTTCTATAATTCCTCATCAGCTGTCAGAAATCTTTCTTATATACAGTCACTTACTTTTAAGTCCATAAAGGGGGATTTTTCAGTAAAATATCATGCTAGAGTTACAGAACTTGATGAGTGTTACAAGCAACATAGACATGAAGCTTTAAATGAATAACTTCAGTATTTGTGCAGTAAAAACATGTTCCACAATTTCAAGTCAACGCTTTATATTTTCTGAATTTATAAAAGTATTAGTGTTACATTTATGCCCACATAACACTAGGATCATGAGCAGGGTAGTCACACTATTTATGGTATAACCAAACACTGAAACAAAAACAATTCTTTATAAATGTATTATAATTGAAAATGAAAGAAAATTCTCTCTAGTGACTCAGTTAACAATTATGTTATTGTTGAAATCTGTGTTTATTTCCTTGTTTTCATGGGATTATTTTATTGCCATATGTAGTTGGAGCTCTAAAGAAACCAATCAAACAAGAAGTGACACTAGTATTTCAATTATATTAAGCTGTCCAGATCAATTATATTAAGCTGTCCAGATCAATTATATTTTGCTGTCCAGATCAATTATATTAAGCTGTCCAGGTCAATTATATTTTGCTGTCCAGATCAATTATATTAAGCTGTCCAGATCAATTATATTAAGCTGTCCAGATCAATTATATCAAGCTGTCCAGATCAATTATTTTTTGCTGTCCAGATCAATTATATTTTGCTGTCCAGATCAATTATATTAAGCTGTCCAGATCAATTATATTAAGCTGTCCAGATCAATTATATTTTGCTGTCCAGATCAATTATATTTTGCTGCCCAGATCAATTATATTAAGCTGTCCAGATCAATAATATTTAGCTGTCAATTATATTAAGCTGTCCAGATCAATAATATCTAGCTGTCAATTATATTTTGCTGTCCAGATCAATTATATTTAGCTGTCCAGATCAATTATATTTAGCTGTCCAAATATTTCAGACTTACAGATTCCTACCATTAACTAGTGAAAAAGTCAAAGCAAAGGTGATCTTTGTTTATGTCAAATATCATTTTATTTAATGTAGTCTTTGTTTTGCTGGAATTTCCAGCACATATTGCACTATACTTTACATATAAATTATGTCATATAGACACATAAATATAATAACCATGATGAATCAGATTTAATAATCCTTTTTTGTGTATTATCCAAATAGACTTATCTTATCAACTTTACCTCTACCTGTTTTGCTTTAAACTATGACTGTAAAAAAAAACAGGTTTATCTGATATATCACATATCAGTAACAAAGTCCTGACTTAGCAATCAAAATCTAACATCTCCCTTGAAACATTTACCTTTGTTACTTCCTTTTTTGAAACTTTAATTAGAATGGCTTTTCTTTTATTATTCTAAACAATAACTCTTAACAATATTATTCTAAACAATTATTCTAAACAATGTGTCTAAGTTTTAAGATAATGTTAAACTGGCATTAAAGTTTAATAATTGATACATGTAATATAAATAAAGTTACACAATTATTAATAAAATTGATTGTCTAGAATTTTAATGCCACTAGTGTCCAACATAGATATTATGTACTTGCTTATTTTCTGGACAACTTTGTAAATGAGTGGTAGTATTAACCCTGCTGGCAGTGGTGACTAAATCTAACCATTAGACTAGTACAGACCAATGTCAGTCTGCATTGTTTGATATTCAGTCAGAACTTTTATGTTGTTGAAAATTTCCCCGGTTTTGTCATGATTAAAGGCCCATCATGCCCAAAAAATGCTTTAATTTCTTTGTATAACCTTTCTATTTCTGGTGTCTTGTTATTCTTTCCTGAGAAATCTACTCATTTACCAATTACCTAAACCATCTTTTGCTTCTGTTGCATTTTGGCAGTTAATACATTTACAGGTATAGTGATTAAATATTAGGTATGGTTACATTTTGCTACTTTTATGACAAATAATTTCACATTTATTGCTTCAATCTTCAGGTGAAAATTATTTCAACATTATAAAACTCATGATTGTGTGCCTTTCCTAAAAAAGAAAAAAAAATCATTTCTGATGCATAACAAAGCTTCAAAAAGATGGTCAAATGACAAGTGATTTTTCAAAGTCAGCTTCTCACAGTGTAGAAATGAAAGCACTGTATCATTAATTGCAAGTCTATACAATTCAATGTGTTTGTGGTATTGTGATTACAAGCATCTTTAACTGCATAAATATTGCAAGCTTAAACAATTCAACTTTTACGATCTTTTATAATCAAAGAAAGATGTGCTTCTACACGGATATGATAACATATAAACTGAGAACAACTTAACTCTTAAAACAAGAAGGCCCTGTCAGCCTTAGATCGATCACCTGAGAAACATTTTAAAATAGTTCATTAATCTAAAGTAAAACTTATTGTATTTAAAGCCTTTTTTCTTTTTTTAGCTGTCTAAAAATGCGGATAAAATTCATTCAAATTTGTAACGTTTCATCTGAAAACATTCTAGTATTCACAGTGGTTCTGGAGAACATGTCATTTAAAACTTATTTCTATTTTCAGTTCTCTTTATGTTGACCTAAAAATAGTTATTTCTGTTTAGTACCCATGAGTTTCCTTAAGTAGCTTTTGAAGAAATGTCATTTTCCATTTTTTAGCTTTGGCGACCTTTTTTTTTCAGTGCATAAATTTTTTTCAATTTTAACTGTTTTGTAAAGTGCACCTTAAAAACATATATAGTTCCATCTGCACAAATGCTCACTCTGAGGAGAAAAATGTAATTTAAATTTAATTTCTATTTTAAGCTCTGAGGCAGTCAAATCCTAGGCATAAAAGAACTACTAAAAGAAATTAAATCATCAAAATCTATCTTTTAAGATAAGCGTTGGTAGTTTTAACTCCGTATCAGGGCAGGAAGCCACAATGAATTCACCAGAGCACAGTTCAGCCATCGCATCATTCCTGGGCAGGCTGTCAAGCAGTTTACCAGTACTAAGTTGCCGTCACTTTCGCAAGGAACTGATTACTTCTGTACATGCCAGCATAGAGGTACAGTGTGACTGACCATAGAAAGGATTTCATAATCAAACACAACAAAAGTGACCTGCACCTTCCGGGAATCAAACACGGATCACCTGATTCACAGTCCAATTAAACTATTGTGCTAACTGCATCATGCTAATCTAAGATTAGGAGGCATAATCATATATAACTAATTTATATCTTAAGTTGTGGCAGCCATTAGCAGACTGAATGTTTTGTACGGTTCTCAATGCTGTTTCAGCATAATTGGCTTTGTAATTTAGGAGATCATGATTAAATATATAAAGCAAAAGTTGACACCTGACATCATGTACAACAGACAAAGCCTGAATACAACACACCTCAAGTGAGCAAGTTGTACCCAGGTGATTTCAAATAGAAAATATAAGTTGTACAGCTATACATTTGTATATAAATCAATGCTATATAAAACATTCTTGTATCAAACACTGAGTTAAAGAATATCAAATTTACCCATATGTTTTCATATTAAGAAAAATATACAACAAAAAATAAACAAAATATCAAAATTTAAATTTTGAAGTAGAATTATATTACCCTACGTTGAGCACAGTATATCACTTTCACAAGTTGATCAATGTACGTAATCCAAAACGCTCATTTCTGCAAGAGCTTGGTTTAAATACTCAAAACATTATACAAAACAACTTCATGAACTTTTCAATACAAATTAAAAATATATTGGTCAAATCCAAATATTTGAACAATTGACAAACAAATGTACCCTGCCTATACAATTTTTCCATTAAATTCTACCATAACACTGCACAAACACTACTACATCCAAAATTAAAGTAATTTCTACAAGTTTAGAGATATATATACAATCAAATATCGGTTAAAATCAGAGAATGTAATCTACTCTCCAATACACATCCATGTGCACTAACTAAATCAAACATTAGGCCCAATAAATGTACTTGTTTATGGTCTATTATACTGAAGTATACTTTATGACCAAGAAAAACTGACCATCTAACTAAATGACCAGCTACTGTCTACTTATACAGACATAATAAAGGTCATGTGTGCCGGCACATAATACAATTATTCACGCATCTTCACAATCAAAACAAGTTTACAGAACAACCATACATAGTTCCTGATCCTGAGGAAATACATGAAACATAACAAAGTTCAACTTAGTTTCCTTCTTGATGAATTACAAAATTACATTTAACTGATTTATACATACTCATATAATCTGTAAATGCACATATATATAACAATTGAAATGAATATTGGCCCGATGATATTGGAAACAATTAAAACAAAATTCAATCTTTAATTTGTAAATAAATTAACATAATTTAGTTACATTCATCTATGTACCGTTTAATTACTCTTAGAATAATAGTTACAAATATATGTGTATGACGGGCACCATCCACTGCATGCTATATAGTATTAATTGTATTGCTTTTACAATCCATGTACATGTAGTTGTGTTTATTTAACTCTTCTGCAGTTATATCAATCATTTATATTTTAAAGCTGTAACAAACCAACTCACTGCTATAATTCTATTTTCCACCTCTATAGTCTGCAATGTCAATTTTTCCTTATGATTCATAAACTTTAAACAAATTTACCATAATATCAGATTATTCCATGAGAACACTTGTGTCCTGTACTAAAACATAATTTCACTGAAGATAACCATCTGAAATATTTTTGTCAAGTATTGGGTACAATGTCAGTAACTTGCACATAAAATGTATATAGATCCTGCTTAAAACCTTTCAAAATACAGCTGACCTAGAAAACCATACCAAGGTTGAAATACCAAGGTTGAAATTGTATATCATACTTGACTTAAATAATTTAAACTACACCAAGTCCATCATTTCTTTTGACAGAA